AAAGATGTTGTACTAAAAGAATAGTATGACATTTCATTGGAGACTGTTTAAACATTGTACGATTTTATTCCAACTTAGATAGAATCTATATGAAAAACAAATGGTAGGCCAGCCTCTAATTAATTAAACAGGTAAAACAGGTAAGTATTTCCCAGGTGTTAATATTGTTTTGTCTCCTGTATATTGAAAAGTAAGACATGTCGTAAAGTAAGAGTAAAGTAAAAAAGAAAGATTATACAAATAACTGTACATTCTTCATAAGAGTAAAATTAATACTTTTTTAAAATCAACGCATTGTATTGTATTTAATAATCTACAATGCTCTGTATGTTTTTATATGTATTTCTAACGATTAAACGCCTTTGATCGCTAATTCGCGAACGATAGGTATTTAAACATCGATACGTATGCAAGTGTCTTATGTGAGGGGTTGTGCGAGCATCAGTGAAATAAACTTGAGCGTCTACGGTATAAAACGCGACGATAAGTATAAAAGTATAAACATGAGTACGGGAATGAAGAAGCCACCGTCTCGACTGTCCCCGGTCTGAGCATTTCGTAGGCGATGTGCTTCCAGCCGAAAGCTCACTTCGCACAGGCGGCTTGTGCTCCGAATCCATTTCTCTCTCTCTCTCTCTCCCTCCCTCCCCCCTCTCTCTCTCCCCCTCTCCACCTCTCCTCTCCTCTGCCCTCTCTATCCCCATCCCATCTATATCTATTCATCTATCTATCTCTACCTATCTATCTGTCTTTTTCTTATTTTGTCTTTGCTATTCACAGATCCGAGGTAACGTCTATCTCCCTCGGTACCGCATGCACACAAGCCACCGGCAAGAAGTAGACAATTCACAATTAGCAAACACAAACAGAACTACGAGTGGCTTCAAGTTGCTTGGGACGCGATGGCAGCGGGTTTAGCCGGAAGCGAGCGGTGGGGTAGAGGCTTCTGGGATACGAAGCGACTAGTTCGGCGGTCCCTGAGCGTCAACCTCTACTACGGAATCCTCATCTCTTCCTGTCCCGCCTCGACAGTGTAGTTATGCGTATACGGGGTAATCCGTAAGTAGTTGCTCATTTCATAATTGATTGGTTATACCTAAACAAACTCGATAGCCTTATGTGCTATGAAATCAAATAATATGTATTTCTTCAGGACGCCTGTATTGGACGTGTTATCTCTCGCGAAGGTTAATCCAAAAATCGGAAAATAAAACTTGGCACAGAATTGCAAACAAAATATGAATTCTAATCGACACATAATTATAAGAAACTCACGAAATCAGAGTTTAAAAAGTATTGTTCATTATGATTAGGATTTGATTTTGATTCACAATCATTGCTATCGTGAAATTTTAACTTGACATTCTTAATGATATGGCAATATGACGAATTTTTTCCCATTTTTTTACTTACCTGTTTAAAAGTTATTAATTATTGAATAATATACTATCAAAAATCAATATTGAAAATTCGATTTTTCCCGTCGTGTTCTTCAAAGAGATAAAAATGTTTCTGCGAAGTTTCAAAACGGTTTGTTTCTCTTTCTGCTTAATTATTATTAAAAAATCGTTAAGACTGCACTGCATACAAACTCAACCTTTCAAGCTTTACACTTTCATTAAAATCAAATCCTAATCACAATGAACAATACTTTAAACTATAATTTCGTGAATTTTGTGTCCGTGACAACTACGTTTTTATTAATTTATACATGCAATTTGATGTTTTTATCTTGATATTTAGAAACTGTAAAAACTTGGGATTTTATAAAATGTACATCAACATATTAGTGAACAACAGTAATGAATTTGTATCTAAAAGTCAAGTTAATTTTTACAAATTCCAAATTACGCATGTTATTTAATAACTTTTGTCTATATTACTGTGCACAAAATTCAATAAGTAAAAATATTATTTAAAATTATTTAAAATTAATATCTATGCGCAATGTGCATATATACGCATATAAATTATTGGTGCATCAAGGTACACGTTTATCGATCTTTCTTGTTCGTACACCCGTTATACACGCATCAGACTCTCACCGTTGCGTTGGAACACTTGAAGCTCCGACCAGTTACGGCAACAATAGGCTTTGTCTTCGCGCCGTCGGCGCTCGCAAATTGGTAGAAATCTTGATTAAAGGTGCAATTCTCTCCGTTGCTGACTGCGGCAGCAAATATGAATTGCACCCTCGATGCTCCCGTCCCTTTATATTATGAAAATGAAAGAAACCATGTCCTTAATCGCACTTGCACAGAGACTCAATCAATGATTCCAATTGTATCACTTACAGAATGAGTTAAGCAAATTGTTCTTTTTTTAATATTTTGATAACCGAATTAAAATTTCGTTGAATATAGTTTTACTGTTAATTTTTTGATAGATAGATTGTACTAACGTTAACGTGTATAATGCGCTGCAATTCAAGAAAATACAATTAATTGGTAAAACAGAAATTGTTCCGTTATTTTATACTCAAGATATTATATAATCTTTTACAAAGAAAAAACTAATTTATATGCACGCGTGCGCGGCACATTTCCCTAGAAAATACAGTGAATTCTTAGAAATTCAAAAGTATTCCAACAACCTCAACAGAGACAGATGGTCAATCCAATTTTGGCAATTTGTCCTCTTGATTTTTAAACTTTGATTGATCCAAATTATAATTGTAATCAATCACTATATAAAGGGATTTTTGTAAAAAGACAAGTCAGTATCAGCTGTTGTGTTTTCTTGAGAAAGTGAATTGAAATGTTTATGAAATGTTGGAACAAAATGGCAAACTCGCACGGCTTTCTAATCTGGAAACCAAACTTATATAGCATTTATGTACCACAAAATTTTTAAACATCAGATGAATGTAAAATGTTTCTTACGACCCATTAGAATACCAGTACTTCTTTATTACATGAATAAGAATTTTTCTTACAAAAACTCCTTTATATAGTGATTGATTACAATTATAATTTGGATCAATCAAAGTTTAAATATAACATACACACGCACATTGTATTGTATAGTGTCCCGAAATTAGAAGGTAATAAGATTGCAGCACAAAAGTTCGTGAAAAGTAACAAAAATGCACGACATGTTTTAAAATAAAGTAGTATTTTAAGTATATAAGAGTTTAAAATATAATTAATTACATGCGTTTGTAAAGTGCGAGCAATAGTATTAGATATCGAACACATTTGCGATCACTAACAGATGACAGATAACTTTGTAACCAATGCTTCTGATTAGCCATGCTTTAAACTCGTATACATATACTTAAAATACTGCTTTATTTTAAACGTATACATACACTTAAAATACTGCTGTCTTTTAAACAATAAAATATACTTTCGTTACTTAAGTTTTTACGAACTTTCGTACTGCAATGTTATTATCCTCGAATTTCCAGAGGATAATAAAGAAACCCTTCGACCAGAAAATTATTACATACAGGCCAAAGTAGTATTAAATTGAATAGAATCGAAGTAGCAAATAGCAAATCGACACAACTAGTCAACAACTTGTAAGTTCCTATTCACACAACGTATATTGATCATCACGTGAAAACTAATCCTATTCTTAGATTATATGACGATTCCAATTCAATGACATAGGCGTGAGATGAAATGAACTGGGGTTGGGGGAGAAATATAACATAGAAATAGGATTATAATAACGCTTCGTTTATAACAGATGTGACAAAGAATCGTATAATCTACCTCAAAATAGTTTATTTACGAGATGAAATTTACTAGCATTGTAAATATTCATATAATTGAACAAGTTTTATTGTGCCTCAACAATTCCTAATAATCTCTGCTTATAAATCAAATATTACTTCAAAATAATTCTTTATTTTAGATTGTATTGATCAATACATAAAATTTCTAAATTCTTTGTACGGTCTCTATTTTAATTTATATAATTATATAATATATTATACAATACAGTAATACTAATTAAATACTATACTATACATTTAGAGATACAATAATATATATTATACTGTTTTCTTATAAATTAAATATAACTGTTAAATAAATATGAAGTAAAGTGTTTAAAAGTATAGGACATTGTCAAATCTCTAAAAGCTCTCAGATTTCTTCAAAATATATATTTTTTATTTTACTAATAAATGTTTCCTTGCAGTGGTCGGTGATTTCATATATTCAATAGCACATTTGAATTCTTATATTTATCCTGTTTTTGTTAAGCTCTACCTTTTCTATGAAATAATATTAACTCTGAAAGTGCTTCTGCGAGTGGTTGAACCATAACCACTATGTTAAAAGTACAATTTAACTATTTATTTCTTTCTTTTATCTCATCGGAGATCGGATCTAAAATTTCACGTACTGATAAATAAAACTGCAATGCAAATTTTTATTTTTTTCTACTTTTAATCTATTTACACAGGAACCACTGAAAAGTTTAAATATCTGATTGTGAGATTGTTTCGAAAATAATTTATTCTTTAAATTTTTTTATGATAAACACATGTATTTTATTTCTTTTAGAACGATTTATCGACAATGTCGGAAAGTGGATGTATAGCACGGACATGCACCAAAACGCAATATTTATCGACTGTGTCGATAAGTAGACGGGTCTCCGTAGTTCTTATATCTACTTTTGGTGGCGAAAATCGGGTTTAAACCCTGTACGGCGTGGCCGTTCTCAGGTTTCTCTCTGGTTGAAGGTAAGGCGAGTTTCCACTAACTTCGATTTTTTTTTAATTATTTATGCAAATCGTTTGTTGGTCGTATGTAGGTAATTGTTGGTCTAATTGTAGCATTTTTGGTTTAGTATTTTCCCTTATAACTGAAAAATTGCCTCTTATTGATGAATCATTCCGCTTCCGCAAATTCCGCTCCATAGGACGTCGCCCTAAGGGTATCTACCTATGAAATCGCTATAGGTCTCATCACGTGATTCAATTTAGTTCGCCAGTTTCGTCACTTCCGGGTTCTGACATGATAGCGCTGCAAACTGTCCCTCTTCCATAAGGTCGAACCCGCGTCTAGAAGGTTTCTACAGCCACGAAATTTTCTGATGCAATCTTGAAGCAGCGTGTGAGCAGTAAAAGTAGAAGCAATTTCTTTCAATTGTTCTCGTATGCTTTATGTCGCTTAAGATCGTAGTAAGTAAAAGGTTTTCTTTTTTCAAAACGTGGACGCTCTACAATCAGAAAAATGACGGAAGAAGATTCGGTACGTAAAATACAGCTTGCAGATTACACTCGAGCCGAACGTAAACGTGTGAAATCTGCGTGCTGTGCTGTCCCACTTTAACGTTTTCTGTCGAGATGAATGTCTAGCTTTGCTTCTTTTCGCGAATTACGACAAATTATCAAAGTAGAATCATATTTAGAAAGTAAAAGAAAGAATTCCAACCTTCAAATCCTTGTTCGTTTAAAACGATCTATTGATAATAATTTTTTAATCTCTTGTAAAAAATTTTTTTATAATAAGCTTAGAAGGTATTTACATAATCTTGTATATCGTTTTTTATTAAGGCTTTCTTCATAGAATCATTTATGTCGGGTGTTTAACGAATATACATTTTTAATTAATTCTTGTTCATCAAAAATTGCTAGGTATTTGATCCAACTATGAAAAAGAAAAAGAAGAAGAAGAAGACTACTTTCGATATTGATGCAGCTTTCAATGAAGGAGGCAGCGGGGGCGATGTATCCGAAAGTATTACCGATAAGGAGAATCAAGAGCCAGAGCCGACAGTTGTCGAGGAAGATGAGGCACTGGATTTGGAAAACTTTGGTAAAAAGAAGAAGAAAAAGAAAAAGGCATTTAATTTAGATGAATTAGAGGCAGCTTTGCCGGATACTAAAAAGGAGGTAAAAATATTTTTACAAACTTTTATATTTGTATTAATTTTACAGCTTTTTTTTATTATTATTTATCATTAAGGCTTCTGGTCTCTCGCTGTGGTTGTTCTTGTTTCTTGTTTGATGACGTCAGAGGCGAGAGATGGCATGTTATCATATTCATTTATGGCTATTTATTTACTGTACAAGGAAAAGGATAGTTTTCGGAGTATTTTACATGTGTAGCGATATAGTTACATAACCAAATTTGGAATTGTTGTATCGCCAGTAATTAAAACCAAAAATACTCGAGGATTAGATCGACCAAGGCTGGCACTTTTATTTTAGTTTACATTTTACCAGGACGTTTCGGCCAGTAATACTGGTCCTTTTCAGTCTCTTGGTGACATGACACGTGAGAAGATGTACATTTCTATGTGCGATGACGATTAGCCTGATCTTATATTTTCCTATGCTTCGTTATCACAAGCAATAGGATCCACTTGAAAAGGACCAGTATTACTGGCCGAAACGTCGTGGTAAAATGTAAACTAAAATGAAAGTGCCAGCCTTGGTCGATCTAATCCTTGAGTATATAGTTACATAGTTTACTAAAGCGATGTGTAGCATTCTTTCAGAGACTAGGAGCCTTAACTAGTCAATTTCTGTTTGGTCTTCTTTTAATAACTGATGCTTCGATAAGTTTTTGTAAGAACAGTTCTGTCTAGTTATTTGTATGTTGTATAAGTAATCTACATGTTAATTTTACTTTATTGTCAATGTCATTTTCTAAACAATTTATAAATTCGTAAAATAAGTTTTTAATATTTGATCCCGTCATCTCTTCAACTTCTGAAAATCTTATTTATTTTACAGGAACCTATAGAACAACAAGTCGAGGAAATTATGGTAGACGATGATTTTGATTTAGATATGGATTTCTCGAAAACGAAGAAAAAGAAAAAGAAGAAGAAGGATCTTGACGAATTGGTAGCTGAAGAAGAACGTAAGGAGATTGAAGACAAAGAGAATGGTATGTGTTAATAAGAAATGATTTTTGCCAATATGTTTTTGCATCTAGTTGTTTATGTTATTCATTATTTGTTAACATGCTGCACTGAATCTGAGCGAAGTGCAGAGTATGGTAAGGCATATGCTTGGTGTACTCTAATTACGTCAACCATGCACTTGTTTAGCCTTGATTATCCTTGCACTTATGTATTTCATGGTAAAAATATTGGAACATCTCTAACATGTATCTATTTTGTCTAAAAAGTTAAAATTTTTTTAAATATAATTTATTTTAATATGAGAAATGCAATTAGATAGATTTATGTTATACAAGGTGTGGGAGCAATGGTCGGTGTCTTTGAATAACGAAAAATATGCAGGATATAAAGCCCTACTATTTTTGTATTTGATATTTTTTACTATCTCGCATATTTTCCGAGTTATTCCGAGTTATTCCGACCGTTTTTCCACAGCCTGTATGTTTATTTAAATTTATAGGGTCACACTATATGCTTAATAAATGAAAGCTTTATTTTTGCTAATATGAATAAGAACTGCAATAATTGTTAAATTATAGAAAGAAATGTTCTGTTTCTTAACATTTCTTTCTACAATATCTTTTTAATTTTAACAAGAAATTACACGAAGGAATTATAATTTCAATTAAAGAAGATGCCATTTTCAGTCTTGCACTAATTTTGGCGGCTTAATAATAAATGGCATCTTCTCTAATTTGTTAAAAACAAAGTTGACTGGGCCTAAGACAAGTGTATTCTTATGTATTTTGACCCGCTGAATCTGAATCCGAGGTCAGAATTGAACAATTGCTAGCTTTGTCGTCCCTAACCTCAAAAACTCATAATTTTATTCCAAAGTCTCAGCCAGAATAAATCTTTTGCCCACCGTCACCACGTGGAGGTGCTCTGGGATCAGGTACAGGTGAAAGACCTCTCAAAAATTAAGAAACGTTACAAAGAATGTTTTGGCTTAGAAATTGTAAATTAAGAAAGTGATTGGGTTTCCCAAAAAAATATGTAATACTTGTTATAAAATGTTGTAAAAAAAAGAAGGAAGGATCACTGAAGAGAAACAAACGTAAGAGAAAATTGCACAGAGTCTTTGAGAGTAAAAGAGTCCGGTATCACAGACAGAGGTAGTAACTGATTTGTTTTTGCAGCTCTAATAGATTGTTTTGCGAGGTAAAAAACTTATACCCTACTTAAAATAAAAAATTCAATCGTTTTGTTAGCAGACTCTTAATTGATCAAGAATTTTATAGTAGAACTTCATAAAACAAGAAAGTAGCACAAGAAGCAGTTTTTTGGGGAACTTTAATGCATGTTTTTAGTTCAGGCAGGATTTAAGACCTAATGGAGCAACTCTGACCTCGGATTCGAATTCAGCGGTCAAAATACTAAAAAAAACGTTTTTATTGCTTTAGTTCCGCAGACCGAGGGGTGGGTACGTCTAACAAAAGTGTCCGTTTCGTGAAATTATGAGTTTTTTGAGGTTAGGAACGATAAAGCTAGCAATTGTTCAATTCTGACCTCAGATTCAGATTCAGCGGGTCAAAATGCATAATACCCTTTGTCTGGTCTTAGGCCCAGACAACTTATTTTGTGGGGCTGTGTTATAAGATTCATATTGGTTCAGTTTAACTTGCTAATTAAAACCAAGATATGTACATGTATGTGATTAATATTTGTTATTGAATGCTTTTTAGCTTTTTTTGTACATAATTGAGAAACATAAAAGTATAGTATAATAAATTTGCATAATTTAAAAACTCATAAATTAAAAATCCATAATCTTTGTATGAAGTAATAAAGGTAATATGATTTTTTTACATTTTACATTAATATTTGTATACTGCATAAATATCGCATAAAAATAACACATTGCATGAACAAAATTTACAGTGCAATATATTCTATAAATATCAATGACAAAAGAATATTTGTTGAACGCAACAACATCTAAAGAGTTTTATATATTGTTTAATACAAAAAATATTTGAAATACATTAAATCTATCACCTTATGCACGTCTTTTATGTAATTAATTTCTCTATAATTACAAAACTCGTTGATTTACTTTAATATTAGGACTATAATCATATTGGACTTAACTGTACAGTTAGAAATGTAAAAAGTTCTAAAATTTTTGTTGTACAGATAAATAAATTCGTGTTTTGCATGTCACATTTGATAAGATAAACATATGCTAATCATTTTTTAATTGCTGTTTATTAAAAAAGGAGCATAAATATAATTCGACTTATAAATATTGTATATTTCTAGTAAAAAAAATAGGTTTTATAGTTGATCAAAGTTTAGAACTGTTAATTAAAATATAAATTGTTGGAAAAAGTTTTTGTAACATTAAAAAATTTTATTCTGATAGCTATAAATGGTAAATTAAAAAATCTCATTTATTTCTATGTATTGTGCAAGAATAAACAAGTTGTGTAATTTTTTACTTCTTACTCGTTCTATGTGATTATAATAAGAAATGAAAACACTTTCTCACTTACAATTAGATTGGCTTTTGATATCTATGATTTAGGAAAAATATGTAATTTGTGTATTATATGTGAACAATAATACAATACATATATGTCTCTATATTTCTATAAAATATTGGATCGCACTATATGTTGCATATTTATCAGTTAAATTTAACAACCTTTAAATTATTAATTTGACAACACTATATTACATATTACTCCATTTGCACTTGCCCGTGTTGAGCTGTAATAATCTCACATGTAGGAATTGATGAAATTTATTGATTATTCTTTTTGTCATGATTTAATTTATAGAAATCATTCCTTTTGTCATAATTTATTTCATAGAAATTTATTAATTTTTTTTCTTTAGTGGAGGAACCAAGTTTATGGGTAGGCTCGGATAGAGACTATACATATGACGAATTACTAGTTAGAGTGTTTAATATCATGCGAGAGAAGAATCCAGACATGGTGGCTGGCAAGAAACAGAAGTTTGTTATGCGCCCGCCACAAGTAGTACGCATTGGAACGAAGAAAACATCTTTTGCTAACTTTACTGAGGTATGCATTACAAGAAGAATCGCAATAGTTCTGTATGTCAATAGCTTGCAACGAAATTATCTATAATTTAAAGATTACAAAATTTATGTAACAGCCAGTATTTCTAAATGATTAGGTACAGTATTTTTTTACAATTTTTTAATGTAATTAATGTCTGTAATGTAATAAATTATTTAAGTAAATAGAGAGAGAGAGATGTGTGTATGTGTGTGTGCGTGTGTAATTTATTTATCATATAATTCTTCAATAATAATTTAATTCGTGTCTTTTAATATACATATATGTATGAAGAGCAGAAGACAAATTACACTACTTAAGTTCAGTTTAATTTTAATTTTAAATATTTTTATTTTACAGATTTGTAAAACATTGCATAGACAGCCAAAACATTTACTGGACTTTTTGTTGGCGGAGTTGGGCACAAGCGGGTCAGTTGACGGTAACAGTCAACTAATTATTAAAGGCCGCTTCCAACAGAAACAAATAGAAAACGTTCTTAGAAGATATATCAAAGAATATGTCACATGTCATACGTGTCGCTCACCTGACACTATCCTTCAAAAGGATACTCGACTCTTCTTCTTGCAGTGCGAAACCTGCGGTTCGAGATGTTCTGTCGCCAGTATAAAATCTGGATTCCAGGTAAGTTGTTTTTAAATTAGAAATAATATAGTCTGAGACAGTTACATATACATATGTATATAAATATAATTATATCATAATTATATGAGTGTCCCAAAATTCAAGGATAATAAGATGATTCCAGTACAAAAGTTCATGGGAAATTAAGTAATAAAAATGCATATCCTTTTTTTAAATAAAGTAGGATTTAAAGTCTATGAATTTAAAATATAATCAGTCATATGGGTTGGTTAAAGAATCGTCTGTTCTTGTACGTTGTACGTGCAATGGTATTAGTACATTCGCGATCACCGACAGATGACTTTAACTAATGCTTATGATTAGCTGCATTTTAAACTCTTTTATATGCTTAAAATACTGCTTTATTTTAAAAAATAGAATGCATTTTATTATTTAATTTTTTATGAACTTTTGTACTGCAATCTTATCCTCGAATGTTGGGACACCCTGTATACATATGTATGTACATTTTAGTACATCCTTTAAAACTTGAATAGTACAGTTATAATTGGAAATAATTGTAACTGAAATTATATTCTCTTTATACTAAATATAATAATTTTAAACATAATTTTTTATATCTATTTCAGGCTGTCACAGGAAAACGTGCTGCTATTCGTGCAAAAACTGCCTAGATGTTAAAGCAATTCTCTATCTAAGATGTGCGAATAAAATCTTATGGCATATAAACAAACAGTACAAGTGATTGCATCTTGAATTGACTTGAATACAGAAGTGTAGATAGTATTAGTTTGGACTCATAAATTTAATATCAATGCTAATGTAAAGAAAAAATAAGATGGCTTGATTCTTTCACGTCTTAACCCCTTCAGCGGCAGGCAAAATTTCACTGTTTGTGCCCCTGTCTGCAAGAAAAAGTAATCGCATTTTTAAAATACCTTGCATCTAGAGGTTTTTTGGATCTCTGAATAGGAATTTGATGTTAAAATTGCAAAATTCAAAATGGCGGATCCAATGTGGCGGTTAAAAAACTAAAATGTAATTGTTATGAAAACTGGTATCCAAGGATTTTTAAATTGCTGAATTTGAGGTACACAATTTTGTTATTTAAAATAGCGGATAAGTTGTTATCTATTGATATATGTTCTTTTATTTATTTTGTGCTATTATATTAGATCCACTATTTTGAATTTGGGAATTTTGACCTTGGATTTGTATTCAGAAACTCAACAACCTCTTAGGGTAACAATTTTTATGCAAATCAGTCCAGGAAATAAAAAAAAATTAATGTGCGCCATATATCTTCAATGCCCACTGGGGCATTGCATATTTTCCGCGCCATATGGCGTCAATGTCGTTGAAGGAATTAAGGACTAAAATCTTTATTCTATGAATTGTAGTGTTCTGGATTTTTGATTCTTGGATGTTTCGATCCTTTCTTTGATTTTGAAATAAAATTCTGAAAATTTTATTCCAGGTATTGTTCCAATTGTAAAAGATTTTAAATTTGAGAATGAACAAGTTTCTGGCTCAAATTTCTCAATCTACTTCAAATTGTTTATGCCACCGGGTCTCCTATATCTTTTTCATTTTAGAATGCAGAGTTCTGAAAACTTTAGTCGCATAACTTTTTAAATTTTTTAATCTTGTTTGTTATCATAATTAAATTTGAAGAAAACTTGTCAACAATTAAAATAAATCATTCAACATTCTCTGTTAATGTCATGTTTGTCTACATGTACAAAAACACTTTGTTTAGATGAAGAGTATCCGATTGTTGTCAACAATAGAGCTAAGCAGTAATGTATTATATTCTCTTGTATATACAATAATCAAGTCCAGAACAAATTTTTGCAAAATTAATTGCAAATTTGCAAATTATACAATTTTGAAAATCTTTGAAACATTTTCGACGAGAACAGCTTTTCTCTTTAAATAATTTAATTGTATTTACTAGACAATATAAATTTGTCTCGAACTTTTTGTATGTTCTTCAAGTTTTCAAAGAATTTGATGAAAGATCCTTTAACAAATATGTATGATATAAATGCAATAAACCACTAACCAATATATAGAAAAATTTTTTATTTAAGATTCGATTTTTGGGGCAATTTGGCATATTGCAAATTTAGATGTAAGAATTATTTAATTTATAGAATTTATATAAAACCGATAACGTCATAAAATTACAAAGTAATATTCACTTTATCTATATTTATATAAAATTAATAAATTAAACATGTTTTACGTTTTGTTTGCAATACGTTTATTGAGAAATATAAAATTAAGAAATAATTACAAACATTTCAAATCGGAAACTATTTGACTGCATTTATTGATCACTGACTTATTATTTTAATCTTATGTTATATTACACTTTAGTGTTGTATTACACATAATATCAAAGAATATTAACTACAGGTGCGTCTGAAAAACATACTGTCGGTATTAAATGTCTGTAATTCATATTACATTATACACTAGGAAATTTTCGTCACATTTTGGAATTCACGATATATCTGTACAGTGCAATATTTATACAATATTTTACATTCCAACAACATGATCAATATATACAATCATTGCAAATAATGTAGCCTTTATTATCTAATATTATATGCATCATGTATGCTTATAATTTTTTAGCTCTTGAGTTACAGGATTTGCAGAATTGGTGTAACATCATAACCTAATACTTTTAGGAAAGTTAGATAAACTTTAGGTATCCATTGTAGAAGATTGTTGAAACTGAAAAAGATGAAGGTGTAAATATAATTACATCATTGTTACGTTGCAGAAATACGTCAGAACTTAATCAATTATTTTCTATCTAAATTTGAGCCAGAAGTTCGAATTTTAAATATGTAGATGGCTCTTTTCCTATAAGGTTTTTTTTATTTATTATATATGACTTACAAGATAAGAATTTCAAATTTTACGACGCTGCAAATGCCTTTGATATCTTTATAAAAGGTTTGTTTTGTAACTTGATATTTTCCACGTGTTGCAAGTCTTGCCATTACCCTGTATCGATTGACAATATTCCCGTGATCTCTAATAATGGCACGAACCATGTTCAAGTTTCTAATAAAAGAAATAAGTTTAAACTTGTATGAAATTAAATACAATGAAGACGAAAGGATTGATTATGGCTACGTTATTTCACCTAATTACTAGCATCATACTCTTAGGCATCGATCTCAATGCAGCCGTTATTTTATCGAATCGCTCCTGTGCATGTCTTTTCATGTACTCGTCTAGTTGTATCGTTCGAACATGACGTAAAGGAAACTATGTACGGTGCCTGAGTGAACATTTCTGCTAGTAATATGTAATCTGAAATAACACATTGAGTTAACGGTAGAGTTTCAATAATTTGAAGAATTAACAACACAATATTTAATGTGTAGACACTCAAATTTATAAATTGTATAAAGAGTACATAGACAAGCAAGGAAAAAATAAATAATTGTGACTATACACATGTGCGAATAAATCTGCAAAATTTTTGTTAAGTTCCCAATATTTCAAAAATAGGTACTAAACATACTTAAAAGTAATATTGTTTCGTATAACAGTTTCTTCATAATAAAAAAAAGTGCTTATGTGCTTATCATACACTTACCTTCTACGTTCAAGTCGTTTGCAAAAGTTTTCAATGAATGATAATTTCTCAAGACCATAGATTCCCAAAAATTGCACAAGGTTTGTCTTATCTTCTCTGGCACATGTTCGTACAAACCGTGATCCAATAGCACTATTTGTGCTTTTTTGTCCTTTCCTTTCCTTACAAAAACTGTGCGCCAGGCAATATTGTTAGTACTACATCAGATTTTTAATTATTAAGACTCCTAACATCTCATATTGCAAACACGTCATTTGCAGTGACAAACAAGGAATTTTCAAAAAGTAATGTACGTTACCCAAATTATTATTTTTTGAATACATTTGATGGAAGAAAATGACATACCATTTCCAGGATGAGGATCAGCGTGAACAAATCCTGTATGAAATATTTGTTCTCCCATTAGTGTGATAAATTTATTATCAACATCCGAGAGATCTAATCCTTGAGCCTTAATTCCTTCCACATCAGTCACTTTAACACCATCAATCCATTCTGTTGTGAGAACCCTCTAACATAAATTATCATTAAAAATGGATAAATGACATTTATTTGATAGAATATAACTAGAAAATGAGCTTAATTCGTAGTTTAATTAACATTTAAGATGATGGTATTTTGCTTTTAAATCTTAAATGACCAAGTTGCTTACTTTAAATGATAAAAAATTAATTAAAAATTAAAACTCTTAGTACGTATACAAAGTTTTGTACACTTTTAAATTATACTTAATTACACCTATATGTGTATACAGTGCGTGTCCAAACTTTCAGAACAGCCAATTATCTCAGAAAATATTTATTAAAAAACTATATGTTCACAATTTTTTTATAAACTAAAAATTCTACTATAAAATTTTCTTCCAAAAAAAAACTGATTTGATCCGTAATCCGAAGACTAATAAATTATAACTAATTGTAAGTAAATAATCCTGTAAAAAAAATATTTGTCCTATCCTATCGAAAATTTATTATAATAATTAAGGTAAATAGGAAAAACAACCTTACTACTAAGATTCCAATAAATTTTTGGTACATATGCATATTCGAATCTTTTCAAGTCCTTGGCACATTGTTCTCCATTTTTTCCTTCATTTTCGAAATCTAACTCCATGCGAAGTGTATCAATAAGTTCCTGTGAATTTAAATATGCATATTTGTCTTATTATACATATTTTTTAAATAAAGTATTTTGCAGAATATGGTTTATGAAGTAACAATAATTACAATAAATGTTGCACACGTTGTAATAAATATATTGAACATATTGTTTGTAAATGACAATAAATGTATATTTTATACGTACCTCAAGTACCCAATGCAAATCAAATTTTGGATGTACAACAGTAACAGCTTTTAACAAATGTACTATTGCTTTCAAATCTGATAGAAATCGATCTTGAAGATCAATGTATTGCACTTTGATAGCTACTGTATTTCCATCTAGAGTTATACCTTTGTATACCTATCCAACAATAAAATGAATATACAATTAGCTATGTAAAATAAATTTTAAAATATAAGTCAAATTTTGTTCAATAGAATATAATTAAGAGAGAGAAAAGGATGTATAAATATTTTATTTCTAATACCTGAGCTAAACTAGCAGCCGCGACTGGCTCGGCTTCAATATTACGTAATAGTTCTTCAGGTTTCTTGCCAAAATCTTGTAGAAATATTTCTTCCATTTCGTCCTTTTCTCGAATTAAACACTTATCCTTATAAAACAAAGAATTTTCGTTATTTAAACTAGACAGTAATAATATTAACATATAAGATTATTATACAAATTCTGGGGAAAAAAATAAAATGTACTAAAAACATTTTTTGAAATGATTAAAAAATGTCTTTTTAGTTATTATAGTACATTATACATATACTTCATTAAGATTCTGAATGTTTACAATAATTTACAACACGTAAATAAAATTTTTACCAAATTATTATTACAAAATGTTATTTTAACAAGTATAGTTGCAATTTACTTGAAAGTATCAAAGATTGTTATAAATATTACATATAAGAATTACTTATAATCTTTAATTACAATTGTTTTATGTCTGTGAAAGTTTACCTGTAATATTGACAAGCTTTCAGTATATTCTCTTGGCAAAATATGATTGACCGCCGCTAAACCTTGTCCAAGCTTTATATAAATTCCACCGTTCTGCAAACATCCCTGAACAATTCGATCAGCGGATCTTTGATGAATTTCTGACTCTGTATAACCTATTACAGGAGCAATCAAATAATCCATAGATACCATCACACCGATCTTCATTGATCTTGCAAATCTAGTCCAACTTCCTATAACGTTCTTTACATTTCTTTTTCTTCTTGAAGGCAGCAGAGAATAACTAACGCCTAATAATGTCACTCCTGTAACAATTTACAATAATTACACATGGCAACAATCACTAATTCATTTCTTAATATTGCAAATTTTTATTTGTGAAAATATCAATCAGCTTTTATTCACTTAAGCTTACAGCCAGAAAGTGGGACTTGGTTTACAATAAAATCTTAACTCATTCATACATCCACTCCTCACTACTCTATTATTATAATATTCGCTATCTACCTATTATCCTATCCGCTCCTAAATCTATCTATCTATACTATATCTACTTATCGCCGCTTTTAACATCTATTTATTTATTATCACAATTATATCACAATTTGTGTCGCCGAACTTCCATTTCCCTGCCCTTGACAAGTTATCCTTTTAATCCTTTCCTTTTCCTTCCATATTTTACATAATACTTTTCCCTTATTATCATCTGCTACATCATTATACAATCTCTCCAGTTTCTCTTCCACGCTATCACCCATCTCTATAAACCATTCCGTCGTTATTTTACAATCCGTTACATAATGTTCTAGATTATCCTTTCCTTCTTTACAAAATACACATATTCTTCTTTCATCCTCCTCGCTCAACCAATACCTATTATCTTCCTCCATATTTCCGCATCTTAGTCTTATCATCGCTCTAATTTCCATTCCTTTCCCTAACCTCTCTAAATTGTCTCCTTCCAAGTATTTCGGTCTTTCATCTGCCCTATAATTTTCTCTGTATCTTTTGTTATATTTCGCTACTCTAATTCTCCCTTCTTCCCATTGCCTCTGTGTGTCCCTTTCTCTCTCAACCAATTCTTTCCTCAAATTTCTCTCCTCCCTTACCATGCTATCAACTGCCACAATACCCCACCCATTTCTATTATAATATGCCTCTCTTTCTCTACCATATAGGTCTGACCATCCTTCTTTCTGTTTTTCTTTCCAACATATCTTTATCCACCTATGATCTTCCATTTCCCTTATTTTCTCCTCATATCTCCTCGCACATATACCCCAACCAATTTTTAATTTACTCAATTCCAACTCTCTAGTTATCAGATACCTCGGTGTGCAAAAATCTAATTTGAAAATCCATCTAACATAATCCATCATTACTTTTTCTAGATTCTTCCTCTCTTCCCATCCCCATAACTCGACTCCATATGACATAATACTTCTAACTAAATAGATAAACAGCATCCCTCTCCTCGCGAAATCATCTTTGCAGATCCTCTCTCCTAATCCCCAAACTCTATTTGCTGCTATTTGTGAAAATATAAGAAATAAATAAAACAAATACTTATACAATAATATAATCATATAATAAAAATCGATAATCAAGATAGAATATACTAACATAGTTTAGTATTAAAATTCCGTGTGTGCTTGTGTATATACATATATACACATACAATATAAACACATATGTATAAGTAAAAATATATTTTAGTAAAGTATATTTACCTGTACCAACGTATTTCAAGCGTTTGGAAAACAATTGAGTTACAAAATAATTATTCGGGCTCACACGACGAAATAATCCTGTTCGTATCATGATTAGCAATCGACCGAACGTTTATCTAAACAAACACGAATAACTATTTAATTCGCACAAAGAGGGAGAGAGAGAGGGGAGAGAGAAACAAGAGAAAAATAAGAGTGGTGCAACTAAACCATTACAGCCTTCTCTCAAATAAATATGAAATATGAAAAATCTAACTTCAATTTTTATATGAAATTGCACGTTTGTATTCTTATATGAAGAATATTAAGAGATAAGAAAATTTATCCATTTTTCTTCCATTAAAAACCTACAACTTATTAGGATTTTAAGAAAACTTTACAAGCAAGATTAAATCAAGGTCTCCATTTTATATTCTCTCAAAACTAAATAACTCGTTTAAAACATTTTTGCTAAGTTAGTAACTTAGTTAAAAGAATAAAATATTTTAACACTTTAATTGTTCCATCTTATATACACGTATACATACACACATATATAACTAAATTCTAATAATTAATAATACCGGAAAGAGTATTGAATCTGTAAACATTTGAAAGAAAAGAACTTCATGTAACATTGTATCTCTCTCGGTACAATCTTACCTAAAAGTTCATTGTCTGTACACACACACACACACACACGCGCGCGCGCGCGCGCGCCTTTCTCTCTGCGTGTGTACAAGAGAAAAAGCAATGGATATTATGTTACGTCATGTTAATAATAATATAATATATAATCTCGTATTTACTGCAATATTAATGATTGATGGTTAAGCAACAGGTTGCGAAATAAGTTATTTCGATTCATCAAAAGCCTCAAGTCATAAAAAATCACAAAGTATACATATAAGGAGATAAATGTCTGTTAGATACAATTCATAAGAAATGAAGATAAAATGTCTGTTAACAAAAAGTATAATTTATATGTGGGTACGCTTTCACTACCGATTAGATTAGGATGTTCCTGTGTTATACCTAATAATTAAGAGAACAAACTAATGTAACATGTGTTGATAAAATATGAATAACCATTTTATATGCATTTTTCTCAGCAAGAGAGCATGTAAATCGAGTTGGAATATTTAAGCTATTATTTTTAAGCTATTATCTCATTGGTCTTTTAATATTTGTATTGGTGCTTGGTAAAGAATAGAATATATTGATCTTCTACAAAGCCTCTACATATCCCTTCTAACCTTTCTTCGTTGTTAAATTTGTAGTGTTAAATTTAACTCTACGAGTTAACTGAATGAGTAGTTGCCACTTCCTCTACTCAACTTTATATGCCCCCACAGTTAATATTTTGCTGATAACTTGCTAAAAAAAAGATTACATCCGTTGCAAGCTAGTTGCCAACAAGATAAGTCCTCACTTTCAATATTGCAAGTAAAACAATGTAAACTGAGTACAGCAACTTCACAGCAACTTTGCGACAACAATTGCAATAAAAAGTGTATGATCTTGGCAATATTTAGGTAAAATTAGAGCAATTTTGCAAATATTTTTGCCACAAATATTATTATTAACATATATTGGCAATTTTTGCTAACAAAACATGCAAATAAAAGTTTAATTATAATGTTTAGATAAGAAAGATTGTTAGATATAATTATTCCCGAGAAGTTGTAAACACTGGAGGTTCGATTGTAGTATACTGATATTTCAAGATACTTATTTTATAAGAATGATATGATCCATCTCTTTATGCATACGACATCGAAATTCTACATTCCGTATAGGATAATTAAAATAACCTCCGACACGAATGCTTCAAACACGATTATCACAGTAATACAAAGATAGAAAAGTTGCTCCGATGCCAAATCAAGAGATACGCATGCGCGGAGAAGCGCGATAAAAAGAGGAAAGAATCCAGCGTGGCAAGATAAGCGAGTCAGTAGCCAACGCGTCAACAGCTGATTCAGAATCGTCTTATATCAACTAATCGCCGTTATCGCGAACTAACGACTACGCAATAGCATTATTCGCGGCGATCGGTCGCATCAGTGCTCGTAAAGTAAACGATTCAGTTGCTCAAGATGTTGAGATTCCGAAAGTTATTTCCGCAATCCTGCTCAGTTATAGGAATGGTGCATGTGGGAGCGCTCCCTGGTACAGCAAACTTGCATCTATAGTCCCAGTCGCATTCGCGTAATGCAACATAAAATTTCTCTTGCCCAATTAAGTTTGATCGAGATGATAAACTAATTGCAAAAATGTATTTATAGCGATCTAATCAAGTTTACATCCTAAAGAATGAAAGGGGAAGAAGAAAAACTTTGAGAATATTTTAGAAAATTTAGAAAACATGAGATTTATGTTTATTTGAAGGGACACCAAAATATGGAGGCTGCAGCGAAAAGATCGTAGAAAATGCAGTAAAAGAGACATCAATATATGTCGATTGTTGTGTGGTAAATTATTCAGATTTATGTTTTAATAATATTCACTTATATAGAATATTCCAAAAAATCTCTTGAGCTATTTTTTATTTCCCTGCCTTTGGAATCAATCTTTAATCGATAATACTATGAGATTGATAATTTCCAAATTATAAATAATTTAAGATAAACTGACTTTTGCCACTATAAAATGAAATCTTAGTCTTATTATTAGTAAATCATTTAATTTCGAGTAAATTTTATCATCAGGACTTGCTGACAAAATACGTAAATTGAATCTGCCAATTTATTGTCACATTGCAGACAGTTTGTTTACTGCGTTATTTCCAATGCTATATCAGCAGATAATTTTTCATAAACCGCTGAAAGAGAAACAAGAAATCTGTAATTTGATATTTCGATTTCTGGTCGTGCCTCTGTAAAATTCAATTATGTATCGATTTGAATGCCGATATACTTTTCAGGATGGTATTTTGATCGAAAATATGCACGATGTCCCTTATATTAAGCGGAAGGATATATCGCCCGAGGTTACAGCTGTAATGACTAGGATTTGCACAGAAGTTAGGAAAATCGCACCGCAAAATATCCCGTGTGGCGTTCAGGTAAAAAAGTTCGGTGTAGATAAAATATCTTCCTCTCTTGTTTGTTTTATTTAATTTAAACTTAACGATTTATCTGAGGCTAAATTTATTATTCATATTAAATTTACCGATGTCAAGCATGTTGATTTATTTCGAGTCCATATTTTTCCTTAATTACACAAAACGGTAATTGTGCAGGAAAGGTTACACCTTACGGATCTTTTTCATTTTGACACATGTTATAATACAGTAATGTTTAATGTAGATTCTCGCAGGATGCAACAAGGAAGCAATCGCAGTTGCCAAAGCAGCTGGATTGCAATTTATTAGGGCTGAAGGATTTGTGTTCTCCCATGTAGCTGACGAGGGTTTTATCGATTCAAATGCTGGAGTTTTATTAAGATACAGAAGGCAAATCGATGCAGACAACATCCTCGTTTTCGCTGACGTAAAAAAAAAACATAGGTAAAGATCTTTCTAAGACAATTCTAGTGTCTTTCTTCCCCCTCTCCTTCTCTCTACGTTCTTCTTTTTCTTTCAAATTTAAGAAGAAAAACAAATTTCCTATAAATAAAACACACGCAAATGGAAATTTTCCTTCGAATACATCTTAAATTACAATTGTAAGTAAAATTATTATAAATATTTTTAACATAATTTAAAATAAACTGGAATTTGCTCAAAATTGTATGAATTCCCTCAGCATGCAACGATCTATAAGAGTATTAAAAAATCGGTAATACGATTTACAACGTACGACTCTGTCTTACGTACTTTGCCTTTCGAACTCTGTATTTGAAAATAACTCTGCGTAAATTTATTAATATTTTGTTATTTTTCTCTGCTATTTTTACAGCTCGCACGCAATCACTTCCGATGTAAGCTTGTTGGAAACTGTAAAAGCGGCTGAATTCTTTTTAGCTGACGGCGTTATACTAACTGGTAATGCGACTGGCGAAGAAACAAATGTGAGAGATCTTTCAGGTATTGCTTCTTTTTAGATTTTAGTTAAAAATTGTTGTCACTCCGAAAATAACAACCCGATATTTCTATGTATATTTACTTACGTAATTTATAGCACACGCGGCCCAAGCAGATCCAGCATTGATGCGTTTTAGAATCGTACACTTATGAAATAATGAATATGCAGATCGTTTTGCTCAACCTTTGACCTCTTTGCTTTTAATGACACGAAAACGTTATAAGAGAAAAATTATAGAATTGAAGAAAGAAATATTTTGAATATTCCAAAAAGTTGTGAAGGCTCCCAAGAAGAAAATATGTAGAAAGGAGAAGTACCGATGTGAGCCACAAAATGAACGGAACTCGGTGCTCCCAATACAGAAAAAGGATTTCTCTTTAATATAAAACGTTTTATATTAAAGAGAAATCCCTTTTTCTGTATCGCGAGCACCGAGTTCCGTTCATTTTGTGGCTCGCATTGGCACTTCGAAATATTTTGATTAGCTTTCACTTATTTCAAGATTTTAAATTAATTTTCGTGGCAATTTTTAAGTGTCTAAGGGCCAGTTTCACAAGCATCGGTTAACTGCTAACCGAAGATTAATCGATTCTCTGTCTCTGTTTAAGCAATAAGATGGAAAAAGATAGGACGTCGACTGAACTCTAGTTAACAGTTAACCGATGTTTGTGAAACTGGCCCTAACACATTTTTAGATGAGATATATTTTCGTTAGCATTCTATTGTAGTAAACAAACCGCTCTCTAAAATTTGTGGAGTGAAAATACTGCCATGGAGTGAAATGTTCGCTCTATTGGCGTGAATTTTTCCTCCAACAGAGTAAATATTAACGCCAACGGAGTAAACATTTCACTCCATGGCAGTATTTTCACTCCACAAATTTTAGAGAGTGTAGTACACTGAGAAAAAGTCTTTGACAATTTATTTGTGGCATATAATGTTTATTTCACTGAAATGAACATTATTTGTGGCACATAATGTTTATCTCGGTGAAATAAATATTATATGCCATAAATAAATTTTCAAAGACTTTTTCTCAGTGTATGACAACAGATTGGCAGCAGTTTAATTTAGATACTCGACCCAGTATTACAAATCCGTGTGTGTATTGAACTGATAGAGGAAGAGACTTGTATTATGAGGTAGGCTACTAATACAGGTAAGACAGCAGGGTTTCTGCTAAAGTGATAAGCGTCATCGGTTGGTTCCACCACAAACTTATTACTCTTGAAGTGAAAACTGTATCGTTACGAGGAAAGATTTAAGTAAGAAATTGAATGTGAAGCTCTATTGACGTGAGTTTTTCAACTTTGTGTATTATGTAACAAATATTTGGCAATCAATTCTACAATCAGGACGCAGAGTTTTCGATCAGGTGACTTAAGGCCGAGCCCTGATTGGCTCTCCGTGAGCGATCCAGTAGGAAAAATAGTATCGTGTGCCGTTGGCTTTAAACTCTGCATCCTCATTGCATTCTCGTAAGCAATCCAGTAGGGAAAAATAGTATCGCGTGCCCTTGGCTTTGGGCTGATATTACATGTCGCGCGACAAAAGAAAAAGGATTAAAGACAATTGTGAAAGACCGTCTAGCTGGACAGGATCTGCGAGCAGATTGAGAGTTTAAGATTCCTGTAAAATTTTTACTTTCGACTCGTGTCACTCTTTTCGCGAATACTGTCATCCCCGCGTAATGCAAGAAGAACAATTGCGATGGAATTGAGTTTGCGACGCGACGAGAGAGAGGACGATTTAAATTCACACGTGTTGCGACAGCGCGGAAGCAATATGTGTTACGTATGAGAACAGGCACCATATTACATCTTGCAGAAGTGCGGGAATGCGTCGCGGCGAGGCTGCCGGTGCTGATCGGCTCAGGCGTCACGCTGGACAACGTGGACAATTACGCGGACGCGGCGGACGCGCTGATTGTGGGATCGCACTTGAAGATGGCCGGCCGGTGGGATAACGCGCTTGACCCGGCGAGAGTCCGTGCCTTTGTCGGCCATTTAAAAAATCAACGATAACGACCATGGAATAACACGACTGTATAACCGACGAATGGGAGAAACAGCCGTCTAGAAGGAACGGGGCAGCTGTTCGACCAGCTGAGCGAATTCCCACCTTCGATCCGCTGCCATCAGGGCTGAACGTCGCGTCTGCGAGGCGAGCGGTCTTCGGCTCCCGCGAACCGCAGGACCGTACAATCGACCGCGGAGAAAGTATCGATTCGAGACGATATTCGAGAAACCCACACTTCTTCCTGTATGAATAGAATGTCGCTTAGAATCTCGGAGAGCGTAAACAATCAGGGTTTAAGCTTGCGTGCGAATTTTGGAGAAATTGGCAAGATTTTTAAGAGCTTACTAAAAAAAAACACCCCAATATTTAATCTACTCGTTCAATTTCGAATTTTAGCAATATGCTTGTGTCTGTACGTGTGTGTGTGTGGGGGGGGGGGGATCTTGTGTGCGTGTACAAACGAAAGTGCGGAGATGTCTCGTGACAGCTTGATGCTGGAAAAAAATAAAACAACGACGAATATTAATGAGCTTTTATCTCATTGTCGGAGCGAATGAGTCATCCACTACTATACAAGAATAAGTGTGCATTACGAAACATTATCTCGAATTATCACGCGAACACGTTCATCTAATAAATTGAATAAATTGGAAGTCACTTCAGAAATGCATCTTTTTTTTTTGTTGGTCGAAACGTTGAGAACAATGTGATACAAAACAGAAACAATGTCCAAATAGAGAAACAGTTTTCTTAATAGTATACTGAAAAGGGATATTGACACGTCCTGTAAATCTACTAATGGAAATGAATGAATGTTATTTTCATTTTATTGAAAAAGATCTATCAAGGTGAGATAAGGAAGAGGATTAAAAACAATGTAATCAGTGTTGTGCATAGATGATTTCAAAATTAGCTAGATAAAGATAAGATAAAAATATATAAATTTATCTTAGATAAGATAAAGATGATTTCGTTTTGAATATATCTAAATAAAAGATAAAATTATATGATGATTCATCTAGATAATTTTCAGATAATATCTTTAAGACTTCATGTAAACGCAGTAGAAAAAGTTATAAAAAAATTATAGAAAAATATAAATTATAAAGGGGGATATAGAATATATTCAGGTTAAGTTATATGACACACAAATAAATGCATGGTCTACAACGCCATCCATATTTAAATAGTGTAACTGTTAGGTATTTTTATGTGGCCCTAAACCAAATTATCTGTACGTTATCTTAGATAATTTAGTAAAGATAACACTTTCTTTCATCTAAGATGCAGATATAGATAATACTTATTTTTATTATCTATATAAAGATAAGATAACGCTAAAATTTTATCTAGATAATCATCTATATAATTTTATTTAGATAACAGCAAACACTGGATGTAACAGACCATGTAGCTGCAGTCGTGTATGATTTGCGAGCAGTTTGAAAGTTTAAAATTGTCTCCTTGTAAAATGATTACTTTTCCAATTTCCGTTTCGCTTTTATGATTTTATTATAGTATATTTGTGAAATGCGATGTAGTTGTTTAATTATCGTAAAGAAAAGCATAGTATATGTTATGTCAAATCCATATTGCACGTATGTTATAAACGCGACAGTAACAGAAGTCATTTATAGAGATAAGAAGTAATCTATTTAAAGTTATCCACGGAAGAGAGTTGAATTTCTTTCGGTAACTATAATAACTCTCTTAGGATATGTGCTTTGAGTCATCGGCTAACTGAGAGACAGAGAGAGAGGTGAGATAAAAAGTTTTCCGCGAAAACAATTAATTACATCACAAGATAATTTCGCAATCTCCAAGAAACTGACGATTAAATTCAACACGGGAGCAGACACGAGATAGACTTGCCGAAATAATTTGAAAGAATTCATTAGAGGGACTTGAAGACCGTCGAAACGTTTGGCAAGATAATCGTGTCGGAAGTGTGAACACATTTACGTTTGACAAATGTAAAGTTCAACCGTCACTGTCACCGAATCCACTATCAATATAAAATAAACGCAGACACCGAGAAACGAGGCGAGAACGATGCTCGTCATTGATTCGAATCGCGAAACGATCGGGCACCCTCTAGGGGAAGAGAACGATTATTCTAACGTAACGTATCGACCCCACGCGGATCCATACTCAGCGGTGCCCCGAGTACACCTCCGCTAAATACGCCCCTGACGTCACTCAACGGGGCGCCCCACCACGCGCCGACGACATTGTCTCATTCCCTACGCTACGCGCTCGCCCTCGCCGACTCACCTCGCCCACCCCACTGCTCCGCGGGGATTCCCCCTCCGCCCCTCGCTCCCCCCGCGGTCCCGCCAGATCACCCTCTCGCCGTTCCCTCGCCGAGAAGCGGAGCCGACTCGAGTTTCCGCCTCACTCCGCCGCGCCGCGTCCAACGTCCAACTCCCTCGCACACGCCTCTCTCCTCCGCTGCCCCCGCGGAGAATCTTTCCCCTCCGTCCCGTCGTCCCCGTCACCGACCGCCGTTCACCCCCGCGCGACCTCTCGCCGTCGGACTCGTTGGGTCGCCTAGCTAGCCATCCAGCCAGCCAGCCAGCCAGCCAACCAGCCAGCCAGCCAGCCAGCCAGCCAACAGTCGAAATCAGCTGACGGCAAGCAGTTGCTACCACGGCTCCTCAAACGTGAAACCGTTCAGGCGAGTGGGTCTCTTTACTGTTCCACCGATTCTTTGTCCCTTTCTGCCCCCCCCCCTCTCTTCTTACGTCGTTGCAACGTTAAGCGTCGCTTTCTCCACACTCGTGTTGACGACGGCATCTCGGAGCTGATACACTACGCTTGACACGACTGACGAAAACGTCGCGGCGGGACGACGATTCCTCCATGGTCGTCGCCTCGACCTGTACAACCGTTCTCGCACGCGCATTTGTCACGGTGTTACCGGTGATTGATTGACCGATTACCAGTCATTGAGGCGCCGAGTGACGCGCGCGCTTCGAGGATTTCGTAGGGGAAAAAAGAGCTGTCGGATCTGTAAGACTGTATAAGACGAGTTCTGATAAAAGTGATTCTTCCTGTGGCTGCACGGTGGCTCGTTCATCAAAGCCTACTACTATTGCAGTGTTAAGGTGCGAGAAAGTGAGGGGGAAATTTGGGGAAGAATGGAAAACGGGGTCTTCACACCCGAAAGCAAGTGAAGCACCAGCGAGACGGCCTGACGGCGAATTTATTTATTTTGTCGTATCGCATAATGATCGCTGCTGCTGCGCGACGATGCGACACGCGTGCGTGTTTTTAGTCGTTTACGACTAAATGAACATTTGAAACGCGAGTGATGGACTGGAGTGCAGCGAGGCGATTACGAAAGTGTTTCCAAATTTGTTATAAGATATTAACATCGGCTTCGCGCAATTGTCTGTTCTGACCCCACGAAAGTATCTGTGCGAGGAAAACGACAAAGCTCCGAGAAGGAAAAATTATTCCGCGACAAACGGTTTGTCGGAGGAACGTTCTCTTAATTTCTATCAAGCGAGTCAATTAGGGCAATTTGCAAAGGGGGAAGGATATCGTTTTGAAACGTACGATTGTCGGATCTCGTCGTTTTATCGTGCACCGTAATTTCCACGAGGTTCTGGAAAGTTTGAGAAAGACAACAATATCTCTTTCGAAATGTCACGTTGAGTTTTTTTTTTGTATTTTACCATCCGTCTTTGGGCCGCTATTTCCGACGTTTGTTAGCTACTGACCGAACGTTAACTCTTTAGAAAGATCGGATGCATTTTAATCTCCTGCAATTCTAGCATTGCTAGTCGGGGAATAGTTTCGAGCTCAGAATGATGTAAGTCATTCAGCCAATTGTGGAATAAGCCAGGATGATGTCATGACAAAGATAAATTATGCAATCTGTAATTCCGCCGTCTCTGACAGCCATACATCGACGTAGTTATCATAAAAGTCGGTAATTACGATCGTTAAGGAAATGCGATTTGTAATGCCATGGTGTACATGGGAAATTAGAGTTGTCACTGCGTTCAATCGTGAATTCGGCAAACTTATATCTACGCTCAAATTTATTTTTAATCCAATTTACATTTTTCAACTTCTCTTGCGCTTCGTCTGGTTGTTTTCATGGTTTTTTTTTAGTTCTTTGAACATACACTGAAAAAAAAATCTGGTAGATTCAACCAGTCGTCTGCTAGAAAATGGACGAATCAGAATTCCTCTAGGATTTACCAGAATTCCTCTAGGATTTACCAGAATTCCTCTAGGATTTGCCAGAATTCCTTTAGGATTTACCATGAAAGATTTTTTCATGGTTTTCATTTCATAACCAGAAGTTTGACTTCACTACAAATCTGGTAAATCCTAAAGGGAATTCTGATTCGTCCATTTTCTAACAGACGACCGGTTGAATCTACCAGATTTTTTTTCAGTGTATGGATTAGTACACTAGAATATCACGAGCGTAATTTATTCCTGTTTGAACTTGCAATCAATCTGAAAACAGTCGTACCGAGCGTAAAAAGTAGTAACTGAAATAAGAAAGAAATGAGAATAAAGCTGTTAATTAATACAAGTAAAAAGTAGTAACTGAAAAAAAGAGAAATAAGAATGAAGCCGTTGTTAATACAAGTTGTTAAACATTTGTCACATTATAATGCTTGAAGCAATTCCATTTCGTCGTAATGATTTTTCGTATATCCTAGAAATCAAACCGCGAATTACAAGCGAAAAGAAGGGGTCTTTTTATACACTAAACGGAATATATGTAAATTTATTTAAAATGTGAGACACATTGCCGAATATATTAAGATAATAACATTTCAAGTGACCAATGATCACGTTTATATTGCTAGAATATGAAAGCTTCGTTAAAAATTTTGGCGTTCTTTCGTAGGAAGTGAACGAGGAGACCACGACCTTGAGCTTGAAGTAATTTTGCTTTCCTCTAGGTAAAAGAGTCCTTTCCCCAAGAAATTTTCTTCGATTTAAAAGAAGCTGTTCGTTGAAATAAAAAATACAACGCGAATTGTATCGATTAAAAGCTGTTATTTGTGTAAATGCGTAAATATATCAGTGAGTTGCCGGTCAAAAATTTGAGAAACCACACAAAGAATCAAAGTATTTAAATGAAACATTACTTAAAAATGCCTTAGGCACTCAATATTTTCTCTTAATTTGAAAGTAAATATGTATTATATTTATTAGTCATATAATTAATATAGCATTGCATAATTTCGAAGAAATGGACTACAGTAAATAAACATAAAGCTTTTATCCAAAACTTTGTATTACTTTAGAAATGGGCGAATTTTCCGTCTTTGAAGAAACAGATTAATAAGATCAATAAATAAAATAATTAAACGTAAGTGTGGCTGTTTTGATTAAAAAGTGTCTAATATTTTCCATTTTATTATAAAACAATGAACATATATAAAAATACGTAAAATTATAATACATATATATTTGATTTCATCTCGTATAATAGACATTTCAATATATGCGTGCGCGTGTGCGTGCGCGTGTGTGTGCACATCGTGCACATGTATGCGTATACGCGCGCGAGAACAATAGAGACAAAGATAAAAGCAGAGTAAAGTTGAGTGAAGTCGGAAGTCAATAAAGCAGGGGTTCAAGAATCCATTTTAGAGTCGAGAAGTCACAAACTTTTGGCCGACATGTACGTACAATGACGTACATTACAGATCGCGCAAGCTTTAACGAACTAAATCTGATGGAGTTGTGAGAATTTGTATTATAGATATTGGCTACTCGAATAGAAGGACATTAGGATTAAAAAAGAAAGATTTATATATATTTGTCAATTCAGATACTTATAGTTATACAGTTGGCGCGTGATTATCGCCAGGAAAATTACTCGTTGAGAGAGAACTCTCCGCTCTTTTAGCCAGAGAGAAGCATATTCGAGATCAAGGTCGTCATGATCGCCTCACTCACTCGCCCACGTAAACTCGTCGAGATTATACAACAGTATACGAATGTATGCGTGTGCGTAAGTATGTGTGTGCTCGCGCGCACGAGAAAAAGAGAGACAAAGACAGAAGCAGAGTAAAGTTAAATTAAGTCAAAGTGCAGGGATCCAGGAATCCATCTTAGAATCGAGTAATCTCAATATCTAAGAATGTAAATCGGGAGTAAATTACGTAGCAATCGCATCTTTGAATCGAGCGTCGTTGAAAAATATTAATCGATAAAGTAATTTCTCAATGATAAGTGATAAACGTCAACTTTAACTATAAATAAATTTTAGATTATTGGTTTGATAATTAAATATCGAATAAATATACTTAATCTACAACATACTTAAATTCCAATTTTTTAAATACTTTTAGTCGGTTTATGCAGGAGCCACCTTAATTAAAAATACAAATTATTTTCTTATATAATATACGTATATATACATATTATATCTTTCCAAACTTACTTCGCATTAAATTTCTAATTTATTTATTTGCGATTTTCTATATGTTACAGACATTGGACGATAACAGAATGTTGGGCAACTTTGTCGGTTACTTGTTCGGAAGTAACTACTCTGGCACGCAAGATTCGCTTGAGGAAGATCCTCGAACTCGGGGGATAATGCGGAGATTCAGGCAAGTGGAAGTCGAGGACGATGAATGGATCCTCATTGACCGAACTGGTACATAATCTATCGTTTATTTAGTAATTTATTTGTAACTATGTACGAAGGGAAGAGAGAAACCTAGACGGAATAGAGAACAAGAGAACAACTGCATAGTACGACTAAATTTTACCTATAATTATTAAATTAAATATATTATATTATAATGCATTATATTACACTGATATACATTAAATTTATTACATAAGGATCTGGATTATTTGAGAATTTGAAATAATAATCACGAATGATAAAAATATAATCAGGATTACTTCTTCAACATGTAAACAGTCTATTGTTAATTTAGAAAATGTCTTTTATGAGAGATTTTCTTCATTGTAATAGGATGAGACACTTGATGTGATGATATTTAAAATAATTGTATTTTTACTTTATACGAAATTTACTTAATGATTATTGGACAACTACAAAATATTTTCTTATATTAGTAGTGTCAAGTATAAACAAATATGGTGTTGTTGTATATAATATTATACTTCCAGTTACCTGTTACACGATATATCTCGTGGTTTTTATACATAATGAAAATTATAAGTCAGTTTATATTGTATCAATTAAGTAATTTTTAATGGATGTTACATAAAATAATTTTTTTGTTAAGACATTACATATATATTCTCAATCTCTTCAAAATGCTCAATTCTTTCAATTCTTATACAGTATATACATTAAAACACATTCGACACATTAAAGTGAATAAGTGAACGAAGACTGATGAGAGCGTAAATGAGTTAGGAAATGCCAGTTGTCGATCAAAGTTGATTTTTCGCAGCAAATTCACACAATATATCTATTGTGTGTGAATATTAGTATACTTATTTCAAAAATAGCACCTAGTCTGCGCGTCGATTTTTTATCGGTCGTAAAACACAATTCTATTTGTTGGAACAGTAAATTCATGTACTTTAATCGATAAACTATTTAATCTTTTATACTAATATGCATCCTGTTGACAATTACTGTAAAGAATTGGGAAAAATATTCAGCCAGGATTCGAACCTGGATATCTGTACCTGGTCCTCTCTCAATCCGTGACGGGTGTCTTCTTTTTTAATTCGATCACCGAGGCATGTGGGGATATTGTCACAATAACCGAACTTGTATACACCTTCAATATATTAATTCAACATTCTTCTCTTTTGTGTTTTACTACTTTTTGTTTCAGGTGTTATTCTTGAATTTCTGTTCCCACTTTAGTACCTTTGTGTTTTAATTTTTAAACTTTATACCATGCCAATTATTTCAGGAGATTATGTCATTGCGTTCACCTTGTTTTCCTTTCAGTTGAGGGTACGCTGGAGGAGCCGTGGTATGAAATGCCACCCGCAGTGTTCACGCAAGAAGGGCCCGTAAAAGTGACAACCTCGCCCATGGAAAATTTGCTGATAGAACATCCTAGCATGTCCGTCTATTCTGTCGTGTCAGGGATGACCTCTCCCCCCGTTGCACCGGACACTCCACCTCCCTCACCGGACGGATGGACAGAGAGTCAAAAGAATGTTACTGTCTTATATAATGCTGATGTTCTTCAAGAAATCCCCGCGGCACCGCCAGCTGATTTCTCGTCCTCCACGTCCACATTGTGCACCATGTCCACATCTTTAGATAGCAGTTCAGACCGAAGTAACATTGATGAACTCTCGCGCAGAGTTGTCGCAGAATTGCAAGCCATCTATAGCGACAAACTACCTGCGTCTGATAGCAATAACAACCGAGCTAGAATCGGAAATCAACTTCGTTCTGCTCAGGAACGAGCTCAAGAGGTAAGAATTTCCTAAATTCTCAAGTGTTGAAGTAGGTTTTTATACACAAGAGAGCAAATATTGATGTGAGAGAACAAGGATTGATGATATCCCAAATGTATCGCAAAAACGGACAATTAAAAAAGGTTTTTATTGTTATAAATCTATCGCATTTTTTACATTCTTAGTATGTACTATATATGGTCCATTTTTTCACAAGTTTAAGAGTTTTTAAAGGAGGATGTAAAGTCGTCCATTTTTGCCCTCAGTTGGCAAGTGAAATTTGCATGTGTTTTTGTCATTTTTAAGCTGCAGAATCACGTGGTGCAATCAGTTTTCCATAAACATAAAAGGAACATACGTAAAAATGTGAAAGAAGTGCAAGGGATGATTTTGCAGCTTGAAAACTATTAAAAACATGCAAATTTTACTTGCCAGCTGAGGACAAAAATTGACGACTTTTATACATCCTTCTTTTAGAGATTTAAACTACTTACGTGAAACGTGCAAATGTTGAAGTCGCGGAATAACGTAATTGCTTATTCTTTTTGTTTCTAAATTTTCACAAAACTTATGGAATATTTTTAAATATTTGTCCCTTCTGTCTTTACAGGTGCTAAAGAAGCGCACGACTCAGAACCTGAAGAAAGCCCGTCTAGAAAGAAACAATAAAGCACGCCAGACAAAAGGCAAGCGACTTCGTCGCCAAGACCGTTTACGTGTTCGTCACAGTGGCGCTAATAACAATCGAAAATGCTAGTCATCTGATCTCAGGCCAAAATGTACTTAAGCTTCTTCCTAAAATGACCAACGCTACGATAAATAGTTACTTGGTAAAATTTCGTTGCAATGATGAAAATAGCGATATATTTATAAGAATTGTGTAAGTCCAGTAAGCACATGTTAGCGTGTTAGCAATGCTAGCAGTTTGCCAATAGATTCGAGCGACAAATCAGCATCGAGGTCATGGTCTGTCAACAGATCGCCAGTAAAACCAGAGTAGAAATTGTGATTTCGCGAACCATTTAAATAAAATGTATTATTTAAATAACTCAAGTGCTACATTTTATTTCTGTTTGGTTTTGACATGCCATCGTTCTATTAAATTAGCACATTCTGTCCTTAGAAACAGAAAGAAACAAACATGAAAGTAGCAACTGGCATTCTGTCGACGAAATCTATAGCTGATACTTTGTATAATTTATTTTCGATAGATACTTGAGAAATTTATTCATTACAAGAAAGAACGTATGGCTCTAGACACCTTCAAGCAGGAGTTTGATAATTGCTATATTTTGTATCAAATATAGTACCAATAGTTAAACAATATTGGCAAGCAGAACTTATTAATAGACAAAATGATTGATTACAGTGATTGCACTATTCGACGAAAAGTAACTTCTTTCAAACATCAAATTGAGAGGAATTGTTTTTTAAACGCTTAATATGAACAACCTTAATTGCAAATTTCTCAAAAGTATGGCATGTGATGGAGCAATTTGGTAAACGCGATTATATTATATATTGCTTGAGAACTACGGGAAATGATTTTTGTTCTCCTGTATTGTTTAGTGTTGGAACAATTCATGGTTGTAATAATTCAAACCAATGCTAAATAATTTTAATGAGATAATTTTAATGTTTTCTGTAAATTATGAAAATAAAACATAAGCAAGTTTCAATTAATCTAGTTCTATGAGTTAAGCTAATAGACATTAAAGTCGAAAACAATCTACTTTTTGCTCGAAGGTCTCTAGTTCTGTTTTAACTCATAAAATAAGGATTTTATCATTAATTTATAATCGGAATATTTATTATTAAATATCTCACGACACACGTTAAAAACGTTTTTTAAAACTGACTTTCCGAACTGAAATATGTTTGTTAATTGTTAATACCAATGTTATATATTGCATTATACATATAATAAACAGAATATCCCCTGTCTAAAGAGAAAAACAGACAGATATCTTGAAAATAAATTAATTTTGCGTGAAAACAGCTTATATAAAAATCGTTTAGTTTTGCGAAAAACATTTTATGGATTTAATAGTATTAATTTATGACATATTTCGTTTTAGCATTCTATTTATATTATATAGATCTATTATAAAAACGAGTAATTTTAGAACCTCGTAATCTCTTTTTATACACAAAAAAACATACTCATAAGATGTGTATCCCAAAATCAAATATTTTTATATAAGCTGTTTTAATGCAAATAAATTTCTTAAAGATATTTTTCTGTTTCCATTAAAACACAATGCACGTACGCGCGGATATACACACACTATATGCATGCACACGTTCCCCATACAGAGTGTGTATGTGCGTGTGTCTGTGTGCGTGTGTGTGTGTTTCTGTGAGTGTGTGCGTATTACATTTATACATATTAATTATTTATATAAATAAAAACGATGTATGTGTAAAAGAAAATTGAATCACTTATAAGGTGTGACAACTCGCAATAAATTGCTAATCAGAGCAATGGTTTCGATTTGTTCATTACTCCGTTTAATACAACCCAGATAGCACACTGAATTCACAAAGTATTCTTTAAGTTTTCTTTTTTTCTGAATTGTAATTCTTTAGGAATTCGTAGAAGAATACAATAAGAGTGACAGAGGAAGTTACATGCACCATAAATCGTTTTCCTGACAACTTCTTAAAGTATTCATCTCGAATTCAATAAATGTAAACTTTATGAATTCAAGGGGAATAGTGTTAGAACAAAGAGGATTACAAAATATTTACCCAACGTATGCACACATCTAATATGCAGTAACATTACACCATTATTATAATTTCTCACTCGACAGTGAGATACTCTCAGCCGAAGCTCGTTGGCAATCGGATGATTGCTTCCGTTTCGGTTCTCGTCGTTCGATTCTTTCTTTTTCACAATAGAACTATTGCAACAAAATTAATTGCACATAACGTTACGCACACAAAATATTGCACGAGGTAACACGCTGCACAAGAACGTCCGGATGGCGGTTATCCCAGTGAGAAATGATTCGTCGATCGACGTCGAATCGACACCGTCGAATTGACGTCGATTCGACATCATTTCGACGTCGATCGACGAATCATTTCTCACTGGGCTATCCGGACGTTCTTGTGCAGCGTGTTACCACGTACGTGCAATATTTTGTGTGCGTAACGTTATGTGCAATTAATTTTGTGTAGCGGATTGTGTAACTGGGTAGCGGATACTCGCGCATGACAAATAATTCCTCATAAATTCTTAAAGTATTCACAGTACTGAATGGCGAAGTATTCATTATAATGAACTGCAGAAGAATACCTCAAGACGAACTGATTGAGACTAATTCTTCGAGAATTCTTCAGATATTCATTTTTCTAATTCTGTATATGTTTTCTTTAAAATGAATTCTCTGTGAACTTGTGTTCATCTTTGTGCTATCTGGGAAGTTACTTGCGCATGAATGCATTTTCTTCGGAGTTTAAAACGAAATGTCACCCGTCGCTTTAACACACAATGTGTATGCGTGCGTGTGCGTATGTGCCCAGTCAAGAAAATGCTAGCGGACTTGATTAGAAACCCATGCCAAAACCATTAGCCGTCGGGCGCGTAGCTTGGTGCGCGGCGCGAGAGCCACATCCCCACTCCTAACCCCACCACCGCTGTAGCAATGTGGTAAACGCTCTCGCACCATGCGTTCTTGCTTCTCTGCCGACTCTGCCTGGCATCAGTGGTTGGGCCGTTGGGGCGCAATATATGTGAACGTACACGGAGGAATCTGCGGTTTGAGGTAATTATTGTTGCCAACTAATTGATATTACGCCTAAAACAGATTTATACCGACGTCATAGAAATGAAATTGCCGAGTTTTAGACTTTTTCCGTTTACTTTTTCGTTAGAAATATTGAATACGTGTTTGCGCGTAACTGTTTCGGAAGGTTAACAATTGATAATAAAGTGAAGAAAAGCGTCGCGTGACCATCGCGTTTTCATGTTTTAATCGTGTTATAATAATGCCCGAGTTTTCTTGGAATAAAAATGAATTTGAATTTCGATAAGGTTATCTAACGGACGCGTTCCCTTGTACTCGTTTGTAGTTTATTTCTCGCATATTCCGCGTGATTTTTATCGATACTTTTTCGATGCGAATCGAATTTTTACTTATCCTGGCGTTTACGCAGGAGAAGCCTAAAGTGAGATCGAGAAAATCCGAGACAGTACAGAAAGGCGTTCGTTCGAATACAACATCGACACAATGCCTTCCCGAGACAATCCTAGCCAAGGACGCATGGCAAATTTCAAATTTAATAACAAACACGAAGTAAGTGTAATCGAGTTATTTTCTCATTTATGTTATTTAAATGGAGCATTCGCAGCAGCCAATATTTCTGTTTTAATCTTATTTTATGATATGCAAGATGCACTTTGTATATCTAGTGTGCTTTATGTTGATCTTCCGTATAATTTATTAAACAGAATAATATATTAGATGCTTCACTTATTTTGTATAGATTGCTACATGTATGTGTGTATTTTAGGAGGCACGAAGAAGAAGAACCACGCTATCGGTGGAGTTACGGAAAGCCAAGAAAGATGATCAGTTGTCGAAACGTCGCAATCTCGATCCGCAACAAGAACTGGACTTATCGGACCAAGCTGCCTCCTCGCCCACGTCCGTTCTCTCTACAAACGAGATTGTGAAACACATAAACTCGTCAGACGAGTCGTCGCAGTTGCTGGCGATTCAGACCTGCAGAAAATTATTAAGTCGAGAGAAGAACCCACCTATAAATGATATGATAGAAGGCGGCATAGTACCGCGCTGTATCCAACTCTTGGACAGCGAACACAAGTACGTTTATGCATAAAAGCCGAAGAAATTGTCGATTAATTTTTTTTTATATATCTGTAAGTGACATTTTCGCTATTGCTTCTGTCTAGTATCCAATTGCAATTTGAAGTAGCTTGGGTGTTGACCAACATAGCTTCTGGTACGTCCGAGCAAACGCAGATTGTAGTGAAACATGGAGCGGTACCGAAGTTAATAAATCTGCTTAAGTCTGTGTCGCCTATTGTCGCCGAGCAGGCAGTGTGGACCTTGGGAAACATAGCCGGGGACGGTCCGTATGCGCGTGATATTGTTCTCGCGCATGATGCTCTGCCTATTCTGCTCGATTTAATTAAACCGGATACCCCAGTAAGTAACGATGTATTTAACAACTGTCTTCTGGCTACGATAAGTGGGACTCGGTCGCTATAATGAATGTCACGAGTGAATAGAGAGATGCCATTTTCAACTGGGCTGGATCTTTGAGTATAGCCTAATATTTTTTGTGTAAATTTATATTTTTCCATTCAGCGTATTGCGCACCGATTATTTGTCAATCTTGAAACAGGCTCGAGGAGATGGTACATTCACATGATTAAATCGACAATCTTTTGGCTACATTCGTCTTGCTTGCTTTCACGTTGCCGGTGTAGACACTCGGAAACATTTTTCAATTCCATTCATCTAGAACATAATTTGCAAGCCAAATGGCAATTGGACAAAAGCTTTTTTAAAGCGACTGATTTTAACAATAGCTGCGTGAACAGTAGTTGATATTGGCAATAAGTGAGAATTTTACACAAATATTTATCTTAATTGTGAGAAAATGATGATATCTAATTGTCGATAAAAAACCTGTTTAGACATTAATATACTTAACACATTCGCCACTAAATGTATTTTACTTGATGGTTTTCTTCATGATAATTGAATTATTTTCTACGAAAAAGGACAATACAATTTTTAATTTATAATATACAAATTGCACAAAAGTAACACGTAACGTATTTATTTGATTATCGCCCCGTGATGGCTGCCAATGACCGACAAAGCGTAAATAAGAAGCTCAATGTCAGACTGTCTTTGCATTGAAATAAAATATTTCTTATTCTTGAGGCCTTTCCCTCTCTTTTTGTTCTTGGTCTATTAGCATCAGAATTAAGAATATTTGACTTTGTTGAAAATGCTTACGTTTTCATTGCATTACGTTCTTTTAAGAAACCCAACATGAGCTAATAATGACGTGTTTGCTGGTAACGTCATCTTTTTTCGAAAGTGCATTTAAACTATGCTTTTGTCCAATAAGGAGACAACATTCCAACGTTTTCTAATAATAATGAAATATGTAGATATCATTCGTGCGCAACATCGTATGGACCTTATCTAATTTGTGTCGAAATAAAAATCCACCTCCGGCGTTTGAATATATCAAACCTGCTCTACCAATATTTAATCGTCTGCTTAGCTATACGGATCACGATGTGCTTGGTAAGATATTAACGTTTTTTTTTGCAATCGTGGTTATTGCTACTTTATATATTACATAATTTATTTTGAATCTGAAATATTTGTACTGCTATTTGTTCTAGCTGATACCTGCTGGGCGCTTTCTTACATTACCGATGGATCCAACGACAAAATACAAGCGGTATTGGACACTGGCATTATACCGCAACTCGTACAGTTACTGGCGTGCCAGGAAGGAACTATTCTTACTCCAGCATTGCGTACAGTTGGAAATATAGTGACGGGTGACGATGCTCAAACGGATGCTGTGATTCTCGCGGGAGGATTGACGCATCTTGTTACCTTATTGCGGTATCATCGCGTTAATATTGTGAAGGAAGCTGCTTGGGCAATCAGTAACGTTATGGCTGGTAACACGAGCCAGATCCAAAGTGCGATAAGCGCTGGCCTGTTACCACCGTTGATAGAAGTACTTCAGTTTGTAAGTACATTTATGCACACGTGCAAGAATCAATGAAAGATTTGTTTCAAATTTTTCCCAGAAAAATAATTTCGTAGCTAAATACATCCATATATTTTAGGGAGACTATAAGGCACAAAAGGAAGCTGCATGGGCTATAACTAACATGACAACAGGAGGAACGATTCAACATTTAACTCAATTAGTGGGAGCGGGCGTATTGCCACCTTTTTGTAATTTATTGGAGACAAAGGACTGGAATGTGATCATTATTGTCTTAGATGGTCTAACTAATATCTTAAATGCTGCAGAAAGAATAGATCAGGTGGAAAAAGTTGCTATTATGATTGAAGAAGCTGGAGGATTAGATAAAATAGAAGCTCTTCAACATCATCAGAATGAGCAAGTTTACCAGAAATCCATGGCAATACTCGATGCATTTTTCTCTCAAGAGGTTTGTGTACATTTATCTTCATATTCATCAAATAAAAGACTATATATACGTAGTCTTAATCTAAATAAGACTATATATATAGTCTTTAACAAAGACAAAAACTATGTTTTTGCAAATAGTTTTATATTTTATCTAAATAGGCTAATATTATGATTTTCATAAACAAAATTATAATTTTATTTATGCTACATTGAACGGTGGTAACCGTATTATTAACTCAATAAAGAAACTTGTATTCCTCTTTCGATATATGTATAAGACGTTAATTTTTGTAGGATGAAGAAGAAGCGAGCCTTACTTCTAAAGTTAATGAGAATGCTGATGGACAAATTGAATTTAATGTGACGGAGGATCCGCCGATAGATAAATTTAATTTTTGAATACATACATCTTTGAATTTGAACTGAAGTACTATGAATCAAAGAATTTATACGAGACTTGATTATAGGTTTATTTATAATGATAACTGCCTACAATAAAAATTTTAATGATTAAATCAGCCGACTAAGTGTCAACAATATTTGTGTGACAAATAAAAATAAAAAGCAACAATCTATTATTCAATTGTAAACGATGATCCCATTTTTTTATATATATTATAAAAATTAAATTATAAAGTGCTAAGCACAATAATTTTATTTTGATAATTGAGTCTCGTATCTTTCGTATGTTTCTAAATACACGTGAACTTGCATTATTACATTAATTTCAAGAAAGAAGCTTTTGATAGTGATCATGTAAATTCTAAAAGTTACTGCAAAATTTTCCAAATTTATTTAGTTATACATATTTACATTACATTGTTAAATCTCGTAACTGATAAATGTATTTTGTAATAGGAATAATCAAATACAGCTTTCTTTGTACTACTATTGTTGGAAGAAAGAAAATGAGACCGGAACATGTTTTATTCTTTCTTTTTTTAAATGCAGAATATAATTAATGTATTAAGTCACAAGTTTTCCTTTATATTCTTACTATATTATTTAATCATTTCTTTATAGTGTGTTATTTAAGGTCGTTATTTTAAAAAATCGGTTTCGATAATTAATAAGAATCAATGATCACGATTAATAATGGTGATGTATTACGCGATGTGCTATGTATTATAAATTTTCTATATAAAAAGACAGTATTATTTATTCCTTTGTGATTTTCTTTTTTAATAAAATGTTGATTACTGTTCTTGCAGATTTTACGGTATTTTATCATCGCGGAAACCTAAAAAGCTTCCGTTAGAAAGATTGGTAAAAACAATGTCAAGTTTAAGATTTAATTTATCTTTTAATTGATATATTTATAGGTTTATTCATGCCGGACCTTAACTGGTCGAAAATGATCTTTTTACAAGAGGTAAAAAATGCCAGATACATTAATGAAAAAAAAAGATATTTTTGTACAAAAATTATATATACATATAATAAATTTAAACAAAGTTTTAACGAGAGAAATATTACAGTTAGAAAGTATTTTTATCATTTAAGTAATGAATAACTAATTAACGTAATCTAATGTAATGTAAATGTAATAAATTATTCATAACATACATAACATGATTGTTGCATAATTCATACTGATAATTTTCAGTAATCGTTATGTACTAATGGTCTTTGCATTTTATGTTAAAATCAAATGTTTATTCTTATATAATTTCTCAAGTTCTGATAATATATGTATATCCAGATGCAAGAATTCTCGTAATATAAATATTTCAATTTATTATTAATTATATTATTGAGTACATGTTTTTTGTACCAAAAGAAAAATTGATACAATTTTATTTACGGTTTAGGTTTGTATCTTTTTTAAAGAAAACATATTTATATGTAGATCTTGTCACTTCACCATAATTGCGACATTTGTCTGAAAAAATTTCATTGAAGAAATAAATGAAGACAATATTATGTACAAGATTTAATAATTATTCATATTTTTCGAAGCTATATGATATTTTCTTAAAACTACATTTACATAGTATAAACTTATTTATCTATTGAACAGCCTATTAGGGAAATTAGTATAAAAGTTTCATCAATTAAACAATTTCTAATGGCGTGTATTTAATAAATATTTTAAATAATTAATATAATCATACAAAATTTCATTAACCATCTATATGATAGGTATTCACTGAATTATATCTACGCAGCTTTCAAAATAATGCTTTGTGGTGAATAAAAAGCATACATCTTGATATTATCATAAAAAGAGTGATATAGTAATTGTAGTAAGACTAATTTAATTTTTTTTTCTATTAAAGATAAAAGTGAAAAATTCGTGGTGTTGTTAGCGCGTCTTCAAATGTTCAAATTGCTCATTATCGACCCAATATAAAATCACTTTGATCATTGACCAAAAAGTGATAAACAAACGCAGCTTTCTTTTTGTCAAAGGTAATTTGAGTTGCACGACTTCTTTGATGTCGATCGTCCCGGCTTCTTGGCGGATCTCTTAAAAATATTGATCCAAACAAGGTCGCTGCACACATAAATAATGTAATGTTTTTAAAGTACCTTGGTTAATGCCAATGTGTGACAGAAGAATAAATTAACTCTTTGAGAACAGGAATTGTCTAAGACACTAACTTATGGGAGACCATTTCTAGAAGTTTTTGAGCACTAAATTTTATTCTGTGTTAAGGGGATTCCACAAGTGTTTTAAATATGACATTGTTCTACTGTGTGGTACACACTATGTCCTGGTATTATTTTGTCCATAAAAACCATTAAAAAGATTTAATTACAAACTTGATGGATTCAATGGCAGTCCGAATTGTAAAAAATTTTAATTACACTTGATTTTGAAGTTTTTGGGGTTGTTGAATTTCAAAGCAAAACTACTTGGTATTGTTCTCACCTGTTCTCAGAAGGTTAAGAGCAAGAAATGAGTGTGATATGAATAAAAAAAATTTACCAAGCGTCTTAGCGTCGAGTTCGTTATCCTGTGTATGACTTAACAACTCTTGCAAAAACGAGCTGATATAGAGAAAGACTGTTCTTCTAGTTTCTGGTAGTTGCATTACGATCTGTAAATGAGAAAAATATAATCTGAATTTAAATGTATAAAAAAAATATGATATATAATAAAAACCAATTTCCAATTTGAGTTACTTGTTTGCATTGTAAATAATTGGTTGCCGCAGATAGACAAACATTATGTAGATTATATGGTATCAAGGGTTCAGCAGTAGATTCTAAGAGCAGTAATAGTGCTTCTGCTACTGAATGTACACCACCAGCTGTATGTAACAAGAAACATTACTGTCAAGGAACAATATGTAATTAATATATGTATTACTATGTGTATAAATAACACACATATACACATATATATTACATGCGTGTGTGCGTGCGTGCATATATGTATTGTACTTTTTAAACTATCAAAAGGATACGCATTGGATCTTGACTGCATTTATCTAGCCAATCGCGAATAGCTACTATCTCACTATGAAGACCTGGCGTTTCGAAAAGCCCTGGGGTTTTAAGACCATGTCGATATAGCCTGTCTACTAAATGCCATATCTCTTTTGGTACCGGATATGGTTCTTGCGTGAGATTTTTATTATTCTCCTGCATTTTAAATCAAATTTAAGATGCAGATTAGATTGCTGAGAGAAACTTTTAGAATAATAAAATTTTATACCTATCAATTTTTAGATATTTACCAATTCCATTAGTCGTCCAACAGGGATTTCCCTTATTGGAACTGATATGTGAACTAGTGCTTCCACAGAAGAGCCAAAACAACTCCTCTCATAAGTGCCTGAAAAAAAAGAGTCATTAATTCGTATAATTATTTCCACACTAGCAAAGCTGTAAAGATAAATAAGCCATAGTTCTATTATCTATTATTATTTCCAGATAGCCAGTACGAGCACGAATTGCTTTCATCTATGTTGTCTATTGTGCTGTTGTTTTCTAGCATTTGATGTCGGAAATGATACATTTGCATGATCCAAACATTATGCCATTATGTGCTTGGTCAGATGTAATAGATATAACATGTTTATATCTGTTAGAAAATTGAAAATAATGTATGCTAACTCTTTGTTAACAATATGCCCATTTGATGGGTTCTCTCTTTAGCTGTGCACTTAACTATGATAATATGTTAACATTATGCTAGCTGTACTTAAATCAAACATTGAATTCGTATTCCTAGCGAAGAGCTAGAGCAGTTGCTGGTATTTTATTACCGTACATTGCTTGAGCATACTGGCTATCTGGGTTATTATTACAAGCATATAATATACCTGTTACAGTAATGAAAATATCTTTGCCTCCCTCAAGATGCAATACTAAAATATCATATAACTTGTCTTCACCGGAATTTAATTTACATGCAGTTTTCTTGTCTATGTACACTTCTAGTTTAATGTCGCATTTTTCACCTAGACGTAAGAAAAAATACATAATTATAAATATATTAACATAGAAACAGATATTTAAAGCTTCCGGATACTTGTTATAGCCATGTTGCAATACAACATCAGAAGTAAAAAATGACACGCTGAGAATTCTCGTGTGCCATTTTAAAATAAAAAAATATTTTTAAAAATCAAAAACTTCTTTTTTTTGTTGAAAACGATCTTTTCCCTTATATAGTTGTAAAATAAATGTGATACGAAGCTTAATATGATGCCTGACCTTAAGAGAAAAGATAATTGTTAAGGGAAAAAGATAGTTTTATAAATGTGTTACATTGAACTAAAGTGTTTTTCATCCAAATACTTTCTTATTTAAAAATGACATGTAAGAATTCTCAGCGTGTCATTTCTCGCCTCTGATGTCACATCTCAACAAGACTATGGCGAGTATCCAGGAACCTTAACAAATACGTATGAAAAAATATAAATGTATACCTGGCTTTATGAAGCCTGTATAAGGCTCTATATGCAACCAATCCTTGCAGTAGCTTGTATCATCTAACTTCTTTATAAATTCAAATTGCACTGGTACCTAATTTGTAAAATATAAAAGATAAAAGATTATATGTTATATAAAATAAGATAAAAAGATTATATTTTCTCCTTTTTCCTCTCTTTGTGTGTAAACATATCATAACTTGGCATGAATTAAATAATTTATTCTTTACCTGGCCTGTGTTAGCGATAATAAGCTCCTTACTACTAGGCTCGAGAAATCTTAAAATGTCAAAAATAATATCTGTAGTGTCAACCATCACTTGAGGTAAAAATTCATTCTCCAATTTATCTAGTTTTTTCATAACTTCCTCGTGGATTTTACGATACTTAGCCGTATCTATAATTCGTATCTGTTTTGGAAAATTATGTGATAAAAAATGTGGAATAATATATGTTATTTCTTTTAAGTGAAAATATATAATTAATAAAACAGAATAAGAAATATCTATATATATTCCCTCTCTCGTACATTTTCGTACTTACCTGAGAATCAAAACTTGCGCTGACCGGCTTGTGATCAGATATTTTTAGTTCTGAATAACTTTTATAGTTAACTGATTTAATCATATCTCCCTTCCACAATACTCGATCACACCAAGCTGGAGCTCTGCATTTCTCACTATATATCGTCGAATGTGAATATAAAAATTATATAAAAATATGATATTAAATTTTACTTGATAAATGTAGGTTGCATTTTGGAAATTTAATATAATTTTCAGGATACCTTGAATCCCAGTTGTCGGTACCTGGATCATATTTGTATGTGGGTTTAAAGTCGATCTCAGCCTCCTGAAATCCTTGAAATACACGTCCTGCCTTGCGTTGGTGTCCAAGTTGGTCCAATGCTAGGACGGGGCCGTAATTGCCCTCTGAAATGTACTGCTTAGCTGCTGCGGCATCCATATCCGTTATCCGATAATTTAAATCTCCCAGCCAATAAATCTGACTATACATATATACATATGTACATATTCAATACATACATACATGTTTCAGAAATAAATGGCCAAACATTAATAGCACTTATATTTACAGTAAAAATATAAAAGTCATATAAATACGAGTCCAAAAACGCTTCTCTACTAGATTAAAATTTGTGAGTTTGTGAAATATGATACAACTTAATACAAATATTTTACTAAAGAAATTGTTGAAAGTGTACAGAATTCTTTCTATCAATCTATCTATCGATGTAATTATTATTAAAAAAACTTTTTATCAATAAAATCAATAATATTTGTAGCTCGGAGGAAAGAGACAGATGTGAAACAAAGCACCTAACTTTAAAAAATATAAAATGTTTACACCACAGTGTACCCGTTTGCACCGCGTTTCGTTTCGTTTGTACTCAAAGGGTATCTATGATAAATACTAATAAACAGTGTAATGTATCATAGAAATTTTACTTACTCATGATCTTTGAAACTTTTAGGTGGCACATATTTTGTAAAAGATAATCTCGCACAAATATCAGCATAATCCTGGTTGCGTCGTTCAAATTCCTCGCAATGTGCAGCTAAATGAGCGTTAACAAAGCAAATGGATGTATTATGAATGCAGCAACTCACTGCAACACCACCTTTATTGCCCTACAAGAATTTACAGATGTTAAAATGTAAGATTAACAATTAGCCGTCTGTTAGAATTATATATTATGTTGATGTAGATATTATTGTATATAATAAGTAATTCATAATAAAATAATTCATTGAAACTATGCCAACAGATTTTAACTTTGTAAAACACTTAATTTTATTGCTAATTACATGCACTAAAGGCACAAGTACCTTGATATACGATTATAGAGTAAGCAAGTCAAATAACTGAAAGGTAGAGGACCTTCCTGTAGAACCAGAAAAAGAAAGAAAATTGGTAAAGTTTTGAGTTTTAGATACTCACCAACTTTCCCATAATTCCTGTTCCTACTGTGTCAGTACATACATTCTCGATAAATGGCACATGAGTCTCGAGCGCATATACCAACAGCATTATGCCTACTAATCTAACAAGAGCGACTTGTGTATAAATCCCTCCAGGATGAAGTGAATTGACTATAATTTGCCTATTAACAAAAGTTTTACGTTACACAATGTCATAACTCTGTACTAACATTTTTTTTTTTTCAGATTCGACACAAATGACACACCTCCATTCTTCTTCTTTGGGAGTTTCGTGAAATAGAAATGCTTCTTTGCTCAAATCTAATTCTTGGAATCCAATAGCATATATATCTGGTGGCATTTCATCCATGCTTAACCACTGATCTAATTTAATGCCATTTGGGGATTGTCCATTTACATTCCACGTGCAAGTAAGTATACTATAATTATTAATAATAATCATGTCACATGAACGATCGTGATAATGAAATAAAAAGATTTGGGATGCACAGTAATAATGTTGAACAACAAACCGAAATGTTTTACTGTATGTATAATCATCTTCTTTACAGGCCATTTGATATCGTACTACTGATTCTCTTGCTGCTACTGGCGATCTACCCATATACGAGGCGATACTTTGTCTTGGTATTGCCAACTCTTGATTCTCTAAATTGAGCAACTGTAAAAGGTAAACTTTTACTAAAACAAGTTTTGTCACTCCTACTTTGTTTTCATAACATTTATTATTATTACTACTACTATTGTACTTAATACTTATATAACTTACAGAATCGACAGCATCCTGCATCTCTTTACCACTGGTAGTTAAGTTTCTTGTACTTTTTGTTAGCTTTTCGATCCATGAAAATTCTGCCGCTGGACTCTTAGCCGTCTGATACACTAAAATCATAATTATTTTTTTTAAACGTCTTCTATAAATATCACCTACTTCTATATGAAAATTACACATGTATCGAATGCATATGCGCACGTACCTTCTATCGCTCGGAATATTTCTGATACTAAGGAACTGGTTGCTTCTCCAAGTTTCATTTCAAATATCAAACGAAGTTTCCTCGATGTAATATTCATGTATATATCAAGGCCATCTTGTGCTTCTCCATTAGTATCTTTAGTTAAAAAAAACAAAGGAACAAATTTCTGATTAAAGAATGTTTATTCAGAGATACTTATTTGAAAGAAACAAACTGCAATAAGCTGTAGTTTTCAATTTAGTATTATTAAATACACGTGTAATAGAGAACACACTTTTATATAGAAAAATATATTACTCGAGTTAAAAATTGCAACCTTAAAATTAAATAATTGTAATTTGTGTGGAAAACTATATAATGTAAGTATTTTTAAACCTTCAAATTTAATTATTGCAAAACTGCTGAAATTAATAATTTGAACAATTTTTTTCCCTTACATATAATATATGCAGAATGTAATGTATAAATAATTACGTATCAATAATCATATATAAAAAAATATGAAACCAATAATTGAATACTTTCTATTCTCGTTTCTATTGTTAGGACATTTTCTATGTCAACTTATATTAGAAGTATGCTTCTTCAGTTTATATGTCACGTAATATCCTGTAGTCGTACAACTATATAGTTTTTAAATTAATATATATGATTATAATTAGTAATTAATATACATATACAGTAAAACTTTGATTTAATGGCTCATAATATAAAATTTCGGATGTAACGCATAAATAAAAATATCTATCGTGTACACTTCACATTGCATTTATTTTGGGTAAACTCAATTTACCTCGATATAACATGCAGGCTGTGTACGGAGCGTTTCTGTGATTTTAAGTTTTAAATCTTTACTTATTAAGTAATTTTACAATTCAAAATGGCATTAAGTGATAAAAAAATGAAAATATGTAAACTAACATGTAAATATGGCATCAAAATTAGAGCCAATTGAAAATTTTACAATACTGTATTAAACTGTATTAAAATATAAATGTTCAAATTAGAAAAATATAACGATGTTAAAAAAATGGCCTCCTTCGACTTAATGGATGTTCTTTCCATTAATCAGTCAGTTAAATCAAGGTTTTACTGTATAGAATATATAATACACAGAAAAGTCTTGAAAGATACCTATACTACATTTAAAATCCTGATCAATAGGCAATATTCCTTCCAGAGTAAGATCGCTGTATACCTGCGGCGGCGTTCTTGAAGTTAGAAAGATTGCTAAAGCATGGGTTGTACCTTTGTAAATGAGAGCAATATATCTTGAAGATTGTATCCAGCCTTGTATTAATGATGCTTCTGTAGCCTGAGATTAATATAGTTAAGGCATTGCAAAAATATATGTTATTCGCGATATCGAGTCGCAATACAGTAAAGTGATTTATAATTCAACATATCTAAAGCCTTCAATCAATAGTAAATTGTTGTCGATCGAAATGACGGTGTATCTATTGTTCATTGAGTTGAGAAAAGGATACAGTTACAACGGTCTCGCCCGACACAAATTTCGATTGCACTATCGCTAATGGCTCGGATGTTGACATCTCGCTTGTTCACCACGTACAAGTAGTCAGTTAAAACTTCTAACTATCTGAAATATTGCAGAATTTGTATATATTCGCTTCACTTTGTGTGCCATATAAACTATACAACATAATAAAAATAAACAGTCGCTTTTGACAACTTACCTCCGAAACTTCGTAATATCACGCAAAGCAAACGAGAACTGTGTATGTGTATTACGTGCTTCGCGGTCGATATGCACATGGATATCATAGATATGAAACACATAGATTGCGTACTTCGATCAACCGTTGTATTTAATGAAAAAGAAAGGAAGCAAGAGTCATTCTATCTTTGTTGTTTACTAGATGTTGAGAAAAAGATAGAATTTAATCATATGTACTCCCATAGCTCCTATATTGCTAATCACATATCTTCTCAACAAGCAGTGTGTTCACTGTCGATGTACGCGACGTACGCGACGTCCATTAGGCAAGTCTAGCTCAGTCTAGCCAAATAATCGTCACGCTCAGCTGTCAGCGCATGCGCACTTATGACCAAAGCCTCGTCCACATAGAAGTCGCAAAGTCGTAGTCGTAAGAATAGTCGACTGTGATTGGTCAATTTCGTCAGACACATAAGAATTGTCCAATCATAGTTGACTATTCTTACGACTACGAAGTTACAACTTCTATGTAAACGAGGCTTAATGGACCAATCACGGTCAAGTATGAGTAGAATACGCGACTGTGGCTGCAGTCAAGTTGTCGCTTCAAATACTTCCAAGCACTCTTTTTCTCCTTTCTTTCGGCAAAGATAGAAAGAGAAGAGAAATACTTGGGAGCATCCTTCCACCCAGAAAGGAAAAGGATCAACATATAGTTGCGACTTCTGACTAACAATAAGGACTAACGACTCATTGTAGACCGAGCCTTAATGCGGGGTCTACGATGAAAGTCTCAGACGGAATAATAATTGTACCTTTTAAATCATATTTTTACTGTTTTGTTTAAGTGTACACATGGAAGAATTCCTGATATCTTGTTTTCATTATATGTATAAATATGTAGCTTTAAGTAATCTTTTTGTTTTAGTGTCTTGCTTTAACTTTTTAACAAGAAAATGAATTATAGATTTAAATACAATTATTTATTAAATTTTAATGGGTTTGCAAAAGATAATATTCAATGACATAAAGTAAAATTGTAAGTATAGTGTGTATATGCGTTTAACAACTTTAGAATGTCTATTAAAGTCTCAAACAATAAATGCTGAAGATACAACGATATAAAATCTATTATTATTTTGCATTACATGTTTATAATAAGAATTCATACACACACACACACACGTATAAACGTATATTATTGTATATATATATACATATGTGTGCGTGCGTGTGTGTGAATTCTTATTATACGTACAAAGTGATATATCAGTTGTTATATACAGTACTTTAGCTGTTATGTAAAATATATTGTACATTAAAATTAATATAAATTCTCATACACATAGAGAAGAGTATAAACAATTAACTAGTACAAAATGACTCGAACATCACAAAACCAAAAAACTGAAATAATACATTGTATAATAAATTTTGATGAGAAAAAAGAAAAATAAGTGCTTCATTACGTAATACAGGACTCTACTGTCTTTTTGACAGCATCACGAGCATATGGTATGTATGATAGGGAATACCATGTCATAGCTAGCGACTGAATAATTATAAATAGAAGAGCTAGACCAGGATTGTGCAACTGAAAATAGAAAAGAATATATTAATTACTATAAAGGGTATAGTAATAACAAAAAATATTAAGTACTTACATGCAAAGCTGCAAACAATGTTAAAGCAATAGAGACCAATACTAATATAGTTGCAATTAGTCTTGTTGCCGCAAACATCTTCTTCAATTGATTCAGTGGACCCATCAAAAAACAAGTACTGAAACATACAAAAATATATATGTATTATATATTTCATATATATTAAATCTTTTATAGTTTTATTAAAATATTATATAATGTAATATATATATATTTGTTTCTAATTAAAACCTTTACCTGGCTAAAGAGATAATGTTTCCTAAAGTATAAAATACAGCAAATACAGCAAGACCTTTCTGTAAGAACAAGGCAAAAGATCCAAGGAATGAGCATAGTATGCCTACGATGAAACAAATTGCAAAACCTTTTATCCTGGTAGACCAACTTAACGTTGATTGATCCATGACCTGTTAATGAAAAAATATATTGAGTATTCCTTGTGAGACAACTGAAATTGTATATATTAAATATATAAAATTACACATAATACTGATATTATAAGTATGTGGAACATATCTTAAATGTTCTTTAATAATTTACCATAAAATCGGCATCAACCTTCCATTGTCGACCACGTGTGAGCATTAATTAAAGCAATTACTTTAGTTTACAGATGAAATGAGATTGTTATAATACATGAAAGATTGTTACACAAGGTAGGGTTACCAAATCTTGCAGCGCAATAAAAATACTTTCTAGAGAAAATGCAAATAGATGTAAGAGACCAAAAAATTGAAATTTTCCAATGTAAAATGTACTCGTGTATATTACTCTATTATAACATATCAATAATATTTTTCCTTCATACTTCTTTTCCATATTTTCTTTATCTAAAATACATATTTATTTACTGCACTGCTCTCGTAACCTTAACCTGGACAACAAGCAAAAGAAATGTAAGGAAAATATATTCATAAAACCATATTTTTTCCAATGTATCAAGTTTAACAAGTATTCATCATTATATAAAATTTCTATTACAACAGAGTTTAATCATTTTGCACAATTACAATCAACATTCTGTTTTGTTAATTCCATCGTACGATGCCTTGCAATTAAACCAAACACTTTTTTCTAAATTCTGAGTATTTGTATTGTTTATTGCTAGCAAATATCTCTACATTATTTTGTATGTACTGATTATTCATGTAAATTAGAATTTTATTGCATTACTGTTTCTTTATTGGTAACTACTTAACTAACGTGCACTTAACTAACACAGTATAAAAAGTAATGTAATTCATTGCAAGTAGAGAGGACGGAAGATAGAAAACCACATTGTGGAATATGCTCTCGTAAGATAAAATATTTGGTAACCATAAAGCAAATAACTAATCATTCATATGTACATTACATTATAATTTGTAAAACGGATTGTTAAACGTAATTACCTGGGTAATAATACCGCTTTCTTCATCGCATCGTTCATTGCCATTAAGGGCTCTCCGAAGTTTATCCATCATTTAAGGAAAAACGAGTAAGTAAATTAATTGAACAGAGCTTCACTGAATCATCAAATATGTGAGGTTATTAACTGGAACGAAGTATTTTCACTCCACATTCATGTTTTAGTTCATGCCCGTTTGGTAAATGCAGAAACTGTCGAAAAAAAAATTTTTTTGTAAACATGATTTTTCATACATTTGCGATCAAACTTATATGAATTTCTCACATATGCGTTGTCTTACCTATCAATAGCATCAGAACTGTACTATATAGCAGCACTACATGCACCTGTCACACCGAAAGTCAGGTACGTAATACTAGGGCTCGCCGCTACATCGCGCATGCGGTACAACCAAAACTCGCATTTAACATTGGTTCAAGCATGCTATATAAAGAGTAAGAAATTGTTTTACCTTATCGCTTCTCGGCTCTCTGAGCTAAGATCAAAGTGTAGT